CCGACACAACAGCAGCCTTAGTTTAGCCGTTTGGGCAGCTGCTGAGTCTCACTGAGCTGGAGCTGTGGGTGTTTAGCTTCACACTCGGAGTTTAAACCAGGGCGACGATTAGAGCTGTAAGTAAAATCACAGGGTATAGCGTTTAGAGTTTTTAGCCTAGTTAACCAAAAAAAGTCATGTTTTTAGTCTTTTTTTGGACTTTCTATGTGGTTTTTAATGGTTTCCCCAACACTCACACCGCTGAGGGGGAGGTGTGAATGTTTAGTAGCTACTAAGCTCAGTGTTAAAACTAATTTGTGGTGCAACTCGTTCTGATTTAGTAATGCATAAACCTGAACTTAGTAAACTCACATTACAACTAGCCTTCGTTTGAACTTACGCACAGCTGGTGCAACCAGCCACTGCACTCTGGGGTGGTCAGTCCATTGTTCGGAGAACACCAGCAGCTTCTTTGTTTGATTTTTAGATTTTTTGTCTATTTCCTTTTCTCAGTGAGGTTCTTCTTATAGCTACACATCCTTTCAGACCCATAGCGCTGAGTCGTCTTCTCACAGTGGAAGGATGGACAGAAACACCTGTGGATGTTTTCAGATCTGAAGCAGCTTGATTTTCTCCTCTATCTCAAAGATGAAAGCTTTAAGTGCTGTTTATCTGATGGGGACAGTTTTGCTGGTCAGCCATGTCTTGCACAGTTATTATTCTGCATATTTTAATCATTTTTTGAGCTCCAGTTTTGGAAACTACTGTTTTTTCACTTATTTCCAGTTCACTTCTTCCTTATGCAAGTGGATTATCTTATATCTCATCTCCTCATAAACATCGATCCAACTGTATATCAAATTACATTTGTAAGAACTGCTGTTTACCTACGTTATACGGGTTCTTACACTGTATCTGCACAGCAAAGTCCAACTTTCCTAACACTGAGCGAGCTGTAGTACTAGCTTGTGTTGTTTACACATTTATATCAAGTCAATGCATCACTTTTTAAGTGCGAGAAGTGAAAATAACACATGAAAATGGTCACTAAGGTGGTTTGTTGACCTCATTTTCTTTCGCCTACCCAGGACCAACAGCCTTTGAGCACTGTACACTCCACCTGGGAAATTAATTATACCATGCCTGCCGCCCACTAGCAGGAAAAAATAAAGCGAATATGTAAATGGTGATCAGGATGGGCCCTCAGAAAGTGATCCAAGCTGTCCTGCTGAATTCTATGGTCTGTCATGACACAAACAGAGAGACGAAAACAAAAGCAGGGCGCCTACACAGTAACCACAGTAACGGAGTCATGCTGGGTCTCAATATGCCCATCAACTGTTTATAGGCAAACAGGGCAGTAATAACGTGGGGGAGTTTCAGATCAATTCTAGTTAACGTTGCTGATGATGAAGTGAAAATTCGTGGATTTGGGAAAACACTGCTCAGTCTGAAGCTCTCTGGAAAAGGTTGTGGTATCATTAGACACAGAGCGATGTAATTAGAGGTGGTGATTCATTTTCAATGCCTCTTTTAAAAGGTAATTTAGATACTTTGTTCTTAGCTACTTCAGCTTAATACCCAAATTAGTATGGAATGACTGTTTATCAGCGTATGCAGCCCTGTACTCCTGCACCTTCTGCCGTAAGATTACATTTAAAGTCCTCTTCGGCAGTCGACGCTGCACTGCTCTGCCTTCCATATTTAACCGGTGCTGTAATTAACATTTGTCTGCCAGGTCATCTGTCACAGAGCCCACCAGGGCTGCTATTGGCTGGTGCCTTGACACACGGTTCATTTTTCAAATGCACTGAGGAGAGTTAATGTATTTGGTCAGGATGAACTTATTAACAGCATAAAATGTGAGTTCCAATAATTACCATGTGCACAGTTGTATGATTTCACTTTGAAATAATGTGTTACGACTCCTTGTTTGATCTACACTCTTTAAATTAAGGTTATTGCACATATGGATCTTTGAAAAATGTTAAGAGTGCAGTGCACCATATTATGTTACACAGTGCTCTGCAGAAGTTATACAGCACTATGCAAGAAACCACCCTTCATTTATTTAATGTCCAATTAAAACTGCTATTATGCTTTTTATTTTCCGGGCGATATTTCTGAGATGATTAGATATCTAATAAGACAATCCACTTGTATAACAAAGGGGAAAGTTGAAGGAAAAATAGGTTGAAAAATAGGAAAATGGATACAATATATAGAGAAAATGGGACTAACAACCATGCAAGACATGACTGACCACTAAACTAAACTGTCCCCATCAGATAAACAGCACCTAAAGCTTTCATCTTTGAGATAGAGGAGAAAATCAAGCTGCTGCAGATCTGAAAACATCCACAGGTGTTTCTGTCCATCCTTCCACTGTGAGAAGACGACTCAGCGCTATGGGTCTGATAGGATGTGTAGCGGTCAAGAAGTCATAACTGGTAAAAGCAAATACACAAAAAAAATCTGAAAATCAAACAAAGAAGCTGCTGGTGTTCTCAGAAAACAAAGGAAAAATGGCTCATCAGATCAACCTAAAAAAATACTTCATGTGGTAACAAGAAACTGAACTAATTTTATTCAACTCAATTACATTGATTGAAGGAATTGTTTATTGAAAGTATCTATTTAGGTTGAATAAAAGTAGTTAATTTACTTGTTACCACATGAAGTATTTTGATCTGATGAGCCATTTTTTACAGTGAAGTACTGATAACCCCAAAGTCCAGACCTCAACATTATTGGATGCGTTTGGTATTATTTGTATTGTGAGCAACAGAAAATGCAACCAACTTCTAAGACTGAACTTTGGAGATGCGAAAAAATATCCCTACAGGTTTCTCTGAAAAAGAATAAAAACAGTAGTAAAGGCAAAGATGGGGCACATTTAATGTTTAAAAAATATACATATCGCTGTTCACCATGAAAGAAAGAAAGAAAAAAACGTATCGCCATTTTTGCCGTTTTTCAGTTTTTGACATAATTTGAAAATGCCTGTTGCCCTTTACATTGTACATAAAATTCATGGTGAATGGGCCAAAAGAAACAACCCAAAATGACTTGAAAAAAAGTCTGGTTCCATTGACTAACATTAAAAGTAAAGTATGTTTTTTCTGTCTCCTGTAAAGTTACCGTTTTGGAGATACGAGGTTTTCTCCCGACAGTAACGATATATATATGGTTGTTGTTTAGAAGTAATTTTTGTAAATACTGAGTAAATTAATTGAATAACTGGTACAAAACAATTTATTCTGGCCTACATAGCTACGCAATTAACAAAACAGCTGTGTGATTGCCCATTGAAATTCAGCACTTCACCTGCCCACCATTAACAATAAAGAGTGCACTGAAAGCTGGCAGAACACTGGCCAGGACTATTATGGGTTTCTGTTGCATCAAACCTCCAGAACAATATCTAACTCTGCTAAAAGTGAAAGATAATACATGCTGCATTGTTGCAGACAACACAAGAAATGAATATTTCAGAGAAAACCTTTCAAACAAATCCCAAATGGGGTGTCATGCACGGTAGCTGAGATGCTTACCTGTCAGGCTGGGGATTCAGTGAGCATTTCCTGTCTAAAGGATTCACTTATAACGAGTTTTGATGGAGCCTCACAGTCACAGCCATCAGCAATTCACCATTGTTCAAATGAAATTCCCCTAAAAGTTAACAAACTCATCCCACCCCAAATATCCTTTTACATTCTTTTACCTCTTCTACAGAGGTAAACCTCAACCCCAACCCACAGTACTGTGCAAAAGACCACCCTTCATTTATTTCACTTCTAGTCAAAATGGACATTAAGTACAAGTTGAAAAAAGTTGATTAAAAGATATAGAGAAACTGGGACTCCTAACAACCATGCAAGCCCTGCTAGATCACCAGTAGCTTCTATCAACCGCTCTTGCTTCAGATCTGAAAGTCCACAGGTGTTTCTGTCCATCCTTCCACGGTGAGAAGACAACTCAATACCATGATTCCGAAAGGAGGTGTAGCTGCCAGGAAGCCGATATTGAGAAAAGGAAACATACAAAATAGAAGAAAATCTGAAAATCAAACACAGAAGCTGCTGCTGTTCTCAGAACAACGGACTGACCACTCCAGAGTCCAGACCTCAGCATTACTGAATGTGTTTGGGGTTACTTGGATCATGAGAAGCAGAAGCAAATGCAACTTCTAAGACTGAACTTTGGATGTGTGGAAAAATATCCCCTGAAAAATTGGATGTAAGTCTCCTGAAAAGAATGAAATAAAGGCACCAAGTGGATACACTAAATATGAATATTATATTTATATGCTGGTTTCTATGAAAAACTAAAATTAAGTCTTCTGAGAAGAAGAAGCCAGAATAATGGCAAAGGGATTTGTTATGGTACATACTGAACGATCTGATAGGTTTAGTGGTTGAGGCTTCTGTGTTATGATAAATGCATGTTTGCTGCTGTTTTGCAGACACAGAAAAGCGAATATCTTATACTTAAAGGCCATTTTGACTTGATAGTATCTACGTGACAAATGGTCTCTGGTTACCTAAAGCAGTGGTTTTCAATTCCGGTGCTCATAACCCACTGCCCTGCACAATTTCAGGTATTCTGTACCCCAAACACATCGGTAGTTAAAAACTACTGCCCTGAAAAACCTTTCAACAGATACTGCTTTAATCCTCTTTCCAGGCCTATTACATACTGAGGCTTATTATTCAGTAACTACAGTGACTTCATTGCAAACTAATGGAGCTACTCTTAGGTTATAGAAGAGTGTAATGACACTTTGGGCCGGCTTACAGGCTCTGGCCATGTAAGAGAGTAACCCCTTAACAAGCCATGGGCCCAACGTTTTATTACACTCTTCTATAACCTAAGAATAGCTCCATTAGTTTGCATTGAAGTCCCTGTAGTTACTGAATAATAAGGCTTTGTATGAAATAAACCTGGATTGTTAAGGGGTCAAGAAACTCAATTAAAACCACTGAACTGAATGTTGCCAAATGGTGCACGTCATGTCTTACCTTCAGTGTGAATGGCCGAGACATAGGTCCAGTTGTATCTTTTTACAATGTCCACCATGGCTCTGGCCTGCTGAGCATCCGAAGGCACCACCCTCATGAAGTACTTATACAGGGACTTGTCGCTGAGGTCCATGCTGGTGGCCGAGTAGGCGATCTGAGGGATGTTGAAGAGTTGGAGAAGGTTCTGGACCTGGATGGCCACCGAGCTGGATCCAGGCCCAATGAGACCCACTATGGGCTTTTTCCCTCTCATTGGCGTCCCTCCGCCATCGGCCGCACACTTGGACATGCTCTCCTCCTCCTCGGCGGAGACCAGCGTGTCGCGTATGAATTCGATGCTTTGCTCTAGGGCCACGGCGGAGTGCCAGCAGGAGTCGCGGATTTCGCAGCCCAGCGTGATGTTGGGCAGGATGTCGGGGTCAGCGTTGATGCGGTCCAGCGTGTGCATCATGGCCTCCACGCGCTGGATGCCGTATTGCTCGCGAACCGCCCCACATTTTCGCTCGTGGACTTTGTCTGCCGGCGGCTGGTGGTGCACCGAGAACAGCGCCCCGATGATGATGTCTCCAGGGATGTGGGCCAGGACCCGGCGCTCGTTGGACTGAGCCTGGACCAGCGCGCCCAGGCTCACGGGCCTGGTGTCATCTCCGAGCAGCACAAAGAGCAAGAATAGCAAAACCCCCATTTCCTCCTGCCTTTCAGATCAGTCTGTGCCGAACGCAGGTAGCTCCCTCAGGGCATCTGCAACAGATAACGGAAAAAGAAGCTCAGGCGGAACATCTAGGACGGCATCTCTGGAGATGACTGGCCCCCTCTCACCCATCCTCCACTGCTGAAGTGTGACAAAGAAAAGCTGTTGTCAGGGCAATGCTGGATCCAAAGGCACGTTACTAGAAGCATATCTCTTAGATGAAAATACACAAGGAGGCACAAATGAACACACGTTCTAAACCAAAGTCTGTGCTAAAATACTATAGATGGAGATCCAAAAACAGCCATCAGTTTATGGCAAAGCAACATAAATCACCTCTCTGTTTTTCATAACCCAAAATTACACCACTCTTTCTCTTTAAGGACTAAAATACCTCTTGGCAAATGACTAATCTAGCGTGTGAGCATGCCGGCTGTGCTGGCACGGAGAGAAACCTGTCACACTTCCATTGCCGTTGATCATATCGATGCCTTTTTGAAAGGAAGAAATAGCAAAGCTGGCTTCAATAAAGATCATTAGCATCTACTTAACATGTTTAAACTTCTAGGAACTCCTGAAATGATGACCCATTGACACAAATGGAAGTCAGATAAAGGAAAGCAGAGCTGTCCGTGGTGCTGAACCACGCTCAGGTCTCCATTAGTCGTGCCGTGTTGAGTTGTAGGCGTCAAATTTTAGACAAATAATGGAAAAAAATACATAAATGTGTTAAGAACGAGGGACTGAAATTGATTTGCATGACGGTATTCAGTTTGGAGAGACGCCAGGCGCAATCAGACGAGACTGATAAGCCGTTGAACTTGAGAACTCGCAGTGTGACACTCAGTTACAGCTAAACGAAGCATAATCACAGATTTCTTACCCTTCTCTCGGTGCTCGGCGCCGTCGCTCGTGTCTTGTCGCGCTGGCTGTCTGCGGCTCTCTGAGCGCTCACTTCAGCGCCGTGTGTCGGTTCTAGCTCGTCACATGGCATCATGCATAACCCCCCTCGCGCTTTTACGCGCTCACTTCGAGCGTCTGAGATCGTGTTGAGGGACACGTCTCCTCTGAGCGTACCAGCTGGGCTGAGCTCACTGGATCTGTGCAGCATCCAACTGAGTTTGAAGCGTAGGCTGTGCGCTGTGCTGCGCGCAGGAAGCTTGGATTTCCACCTCCAATCAGCTCAGCATCGTCCCTCGAAAACAACCGAGGAAAGAAGAGGTCTAGATAACCTCACGTTTGGGTTGCAGGTGGGGTTGGGTGGTGGGAGTCTCTGTCTCAGATAGAGGACTTTATTAGAACCATTCATCCAAGCCAAGACATATTTAGACAACCTTTCTTTATAAGAGTGGACTAGTATACACTCTCAGAGATAAAGGTACGGGGCTGTCACTGGGGTGGGACCCTCAAGGGTCCATCTCAGTACCTTTAGTCAGGGAACATAACTGTACCATAATCCACTGAAATGATTTTGGTAACACTTTCTATGAATGTCACCTTTGTAAGTATCTATAAACACATTCATAACATGTTATAATGCATTCATAAGGCATTATAATCATGGCTATAAATATTTATAAAAATGCATTATACATTATAGCCATGCTTATTATGCATTATGAATTGTTAACATAATACATTATAAGTACTGTTCATAACAAATTATAAGAGCTCATAAGTTGTATTTGTCCGCTCTAAGTAAAGTGAAGCGTACTGTACTAAAGCCTCCTCCAGTGTTCAGAGTGAGGCTTCAAGTTGAAGTATTTACTGAAGGATTTACTGAAACACTAAAACATTCACAATAAAGCACATTATAGGCTTCAAATGTCAGAGTTTAAACTAATGCTGCCATCAGTGTTTTACCCAGTGTGGGAAAGGTAATGTACACCACCGTTAGCTTGGTATTTGTCTTTACTTTGCAGTGTCCAAGCTGGGACTGACTTCTTTGGCACTGACATTATAACATGTTATCAACACTACTTATAATGCATTATATTAACAATTCATAATGTATAATAAACATGGCTATAAAGTGTAATCCAGTGTAATTCATTTTTGAATTGTTTATGATCATGTTTATAATGTATGAAGGCATTATAACATGTTATAAATGTGTTTATAGATGCTTACAAACGTGACATTCATAGAAAGTGTTACCATGGTATTCTCTAAGCTGTACTGACTCCACACCCCCCGTCTCGTCTCCAGGCTTTTATTTTATTGTTCTGTTTTAAATCATTCGGTTATGAAAAGGTACAAATACGAACTTTTCACCTGGAAAAACTGATTTAAGGTTTACAATCAGACCTTAAAACCGCTGTTGTACCTTTGAGGCAACATTTACATTGTTTGTACCTTGATGAATGAAAAATGTACCTGAACAGAACCTTTACTTCTAACAGTGTATTGTGTAATGTTTATACTCCACCAGTCAAAAGTTTGGACATGTCTGCTCATAGGTTTTCCTGATTTTTACTGTATTCCATGTTCCACACCAAAAATATGAAATGACACATAAAAAAGCAGAAAACATATTTAACAGAACACGGAAGCCTCAGCAACTAAATGTAATATCAGTATTTAGTGTGTGTTTTATTTCAACTTGCTTGCATTTTTTTAAGAAATCTGTAGGGATATTTTTTTTACACATCTCCAAAGTTCAGTCTTAGAAGTTGGTTGTATTTTCTGCTTCTCAAGATCCAAATAATCCCAAACACCTTAAGAGATGTTGAGGTCTGGACTCTGGGATGGACAGTCCATTGTTCCGAGAATACAAGCAGCTTCTTTGATCTGCAAGCATTCTTCTTCTTCCTTTGTCTACTCCCTTGTAATGATTTCTAGATAGCTACACATCTTTTCAGAAAGCCGTTTTCACTGGAAGTTAAGTAAATAAAAGGTGGTTCCTGACTTTATTATTTTGCATTTAAGCCTTTAGATCAAAATATCTTTAATATTCTGAACTGTTTTGTTGTCTTGTCTAGTATATATAGTATTTATAGTCTTGTGTATTTATTGTTCTGCACTCGTTTCACACTGTTGTGTATCTGCACTGTATGTAGTCCTGTGTAATGTACTGCTATTGTGTGTTGCTCCATGGAGCCCGAAGAACAACCTTTCGTTCCAGGTTTTAATGACAATAAAGACCACTTGACTCGACTCGACTATCTTCAGTTACGTGTGTCCAGACATTTGACTGGTAGAGTATATATTTTTTTTGCTTTTGGGTGGATTTTGGGGAAATGTTGCAAAATTGCAACTAATGTTTTTTACAGTTTTTGAATTGTCTCATTAACAAAGTTAGTTGGTGTTTCTATTAGCGAGTCCCGAAAAGATACGTATGTTTAATATGTTATTTTATGTACAAACAGTAAATTCAGCAACACTTTATTTTGGATCGTCCACTTTAGATTATTTGTAGATTTTTAATTTACCTTTGCAGATTTTTAATTGACCATAAATCCGGCTCTAATCCTAATCCTAACCTTAACCTCAACACAAAACCTAAACCCAGCCCTCACCCTGGTCCAAATCCTAACCCTAACCCCACCACTGTTTAGAGTCAACTGACTTTCAACAGATAGCTTGTTAACAATTAGAACATCTGTAGATAATCTATAGGGGATTATAGTGGGCTATCCAAATAAAGTGGGACCAAAAATTTATTTCATATTTAAGTCTAGTATGAACTTTTAAGCTATAAATAGAGTAGGTAGGCCTGCACATGTATTCTCTACACCAAAACACCTGATTACCTCATAATGGACTTGAAAATTAGCTGATAAGCTGGATCAGGTGTGTTGGGGTGGGAGTAGGTGAAAAGGGGCAGAGCAGATGGTCTCCGTTCCTCGAATGATGCTACAAATGATGTTCACAGAAATATCACAGGTCAGTTGCTTACTTGGAAGATCCAAAGATCCATTGTTAGCACCACTGTTAGCTTGCAATGGGAGTCAACTATGCTGTGAGACTCAGGGTCTGTATTCATAAAGCAACTCGGCAGCAGGATCTAGAGTCAGTTTTGTGACCCTGGCGGTCATGAATACGGGGGAATCTGAGATCCGTCTTCCAACCAAGTGCTTTGTGAATTCCAGCCCAGCTTTTTTTCCTTTGATAAATCAGAGTGCGAGCAAGTGCAGTGTTTTATTTTACTTTTTAATTATTTCATAATAGCATGGGTTATTTTTAGAATAGCCTTGCGGTGGCTGATGAGATAGATGATGTCATTTAAGGCCCCCAAATGTTTAGAGATGGCCCTGATTCTGAGTTGTTTACTGCCACCCTTTAGTAAGACACTGGTTGTGTCAGAGGGCTTGTTTTTATTTATGTGGTTGTAAAGGTGTTAGCCCAATGATGTAGTGAGCTTGATAACACATTTGTGTAGGTTTATATTACGATCACACACACACACACACACACACACACACACACACACCCACCCCTCTAACAGAAGGTTAGCTAAACAGGTTGCTACTTATTTTTTTACTCATAATGTTCCTGAGCTGATCTGGGATGAAGTTTCACCTCTCCAAAGCTCCACTGTCTGGGCAACATCTCTACAGGGCCAAGAGCATCATTACTGTCCTAAAAATAAATACATTAAAAAAAATGAATTAATTAATGAATTAAAAATAAATCTAAAAAATGGTAACTTTAAATGAAAGTTCATATAAAGATATTTTATATCACATAGTTTTTTGGCATTTCTATTGGTCCATTCATGATAACCTTTTTACACAGTGTAAAGCACAGCTACTGTGCTCAAATGATGTAGAAAAAGAAAAACAGGGAAAATGGAGATTGTTTTGTCTTGACAGAGATCAAAACTATTTATTTAGTCTGCTAGACAAGCAAGGCTGACACTCTCGTTATTTGAACACAGTGCCATCATCTGGTTAGGTCACGCACTGCGCATCAAACTTGAATTCAGTTCCAAGTAGTTTAAATACTGCCAATTGCCACTGACTACACTCATAAAATACAGTTTTTTTTGGAGCTATGCCTTAGAAGAACCACTTTTGGTTCCCTAAAGAACCTTTCAATGAATGTTTCTTTAGGGAATCATTTTATGTGAGTGGGATGTTTAAGGGGGAGGAATTTTTCATTAAAGTTTAAAGAACCACATACACCCTAAAAATAAAGGTGCAGAAGAGCCACTTTTGATTCTCTTGAAAAAGAGCATGAAGAACCTTTTAAAGGCTTGAAGAACCTTCCCGTAATGTAAAAGTTCTATACCAATTTTCGACCTTTACATTATGTGAAGTTTTAAAAAGCTTTAAAAAGGTTCTTTACATTCACATGTCTCACTTACAGAAACGATTCTCTGAAGAACTGTCCACTGAAAGGTTCTTGAGGGAACCAAACGTGGTTATTCTATAGTAGGCTTTCCCAACCCCTGGGCCGAGGACCACAAGTGGGCCGCAAACCACCCCTTGGACCTATACTGAGGGGGGTCAGTGGTCTGTAGTGGGCCTGTGATGGCACTTTGTCATTAAAATCAGTGAAAAAGTAAATAACTTAACAATAAAAAAGAAATAAAAATGTTTGACAGTTAACAACATTAATACAAGCCCCACAGTAACAGTGCACAACGGCAGTTTCTTCAAGTTTCTGCCCTCTAGAAACACCTGACCTTTCAACTGTCCACTCACACCAATATTCTGTATTGTTTCCTTGAGGTGGAAAAGGTTGAGAACCCCTGTTCTATAGCATCAAACCTAAAGAACCTTTTTTTGGCACCTTTATTTTTAAGTAACCTAATGTAAAGGTTCTGTGCCAAATGACCTAGGACCATACATCCATGCTGAGAACCCCTTTTATGTTTTATTTTTTAAGATGGCAACTAAGATAGACATTGCCCTACATGGGGCAAATTATTTTCTTGATTGATAAATAATAATATTAATAATGATGAACGTTTGGAGCGAGTGCAGATGTAGATGAGGAGGCCTATGTTAGCTTGGTGGAAGGTAACCTTGCTTTGAATCTTAAAGCTTGGTTTAGGAAGCAAGAGATAGATCACCTGACTGGCTGGCGAGCATGTAGGTAAGCAGCTGGAGCAGCTGGGTGAGCTACACACTTTAGTTAAGGCAATGGTTCTACTTGGAGCCATTAGTTCTATATAGAATCATTTCATGCTTGAAGAGTTCTTTGCATGGTGAAATGGCTCTTCAGGCTGATGGATAATGTGTTATATATGGTTCTTAATAGAACATTTTTGAAAATGATTCTATATAGCATATAAAGGGTTCTTATATTGCTATAGGTTTGGCATAGTAATAGTAGAAGAACGCTTTTTGGTGCTATATAGCAGTGTTTCTCAACCCTGGTCCTGGAGGCCACACTGTTAGAAATAAAGGTTCTGTGCAGGTACATTTCTTGTTCATTGAAGTACAAACAGTGTAATGGTTCCCTCAAAGGTACAACAGTGGTTTTAAGGTCCAATTGTGAGCCTTAAATAAGTTTTTCTAGGTGAAAAGTTGGTATTTGTACTTTTTCATAACCAAATGTTTTAAAACAGAACAATAAAATAAAAAGCCTGGAGACGAGACGGGGTGTGTGGAGTTAATACAACAAAATATTATATTATATATATATATATATATATATATACTTCAGTGGATTATGGTACAGTTATGTTCCCTGACTAAAGGTACTGAGATGCACCCTTGAGGGTATTTCTGAGAGTGCACTGCCATGTATTTTCCCTGCTCCCAACACACCTGATCTGACTGAACAGCCCAATAACAGTCCATTATTGAGTTGAATTGGGTGTGTTAAAGCAGGTAAAGTGCTAAAATGTCCAGAGCAGTTGGCCTCCAGGACCAGGATTGAGAAACACTGCTATATAGAACCATAAACAACACATTCTCCATCAATCTGAACTCATGGTTCTAAACAGAAGCATTGCATTTACTAAAGAAACCTTGAATAACCATCTATTCTAAGTGTGCAGGGCTGTGATACATGGGGTGGCTCTTGCTATAATGTATGACCCAAGCCATCCTCTTCACAATGAGTCTGAGCTGTTACCTTCTGGATGATGCTTTAAGATTCCCTTCACTGAGAGAAACCTTAATAAGAAATACTTTAGTCCCACCACCATTAGCCTCCTGACTCAGTCAGTTTTTAAAATAAAATTAATGTAACTCTCTATAAAATTATAACTTTATTTGTTATCATTTGACAGCATGATATCTTAGAAAATATACATTTAACCTTACAAAAAAGTATTAGCCCATCTCAGAAATGATATCTCACATGTTTTCTTTCCTGGCTGTGGCTTTAATGAGTATCAGAGTTGAGTTTTTTGGCATATAGATAGGAAATACACAAAATGTGGTTAACTAGCATTCATGTCAGTGGCATGAGGACATTAAGGACATTTTACTGATTTATTTAATGTATATATGTTAAAGAATCATTCATTTCCAGTGTAGAATTTGAGCAACTGGGTAGAATTTTCAAACAGACCCCATCAGTCAATATTACAATTTCACTGAGAATAAAGAAGAAAGAGTGAGAGAACTCTTCTTCCAATAATCTCAGAGAATTTCTGTTAAATATAATCACTGTCAAAAAAAACACAAAAAAACAAGCATCTTCATTTTTGTCAATTTTTGTTTTGGTATGTCATTTGAACCTGGCAGTTGTTCTGTACAATGTGTGAAAATGTAATGATGAATGGACCAATAGAAATGCTCCAAAATCTCTTGGAATAAAACCCTTTTTACCTTTATTTACATTAAAAGTTTAGAAGATTTTTGCCCTTTCCTGGAAAATGACTATTCTGGAGATACATGTTTTTCTGATGATACGTGAATATATTCTAAATATTTCAGAAGGTTGAGTGAAAGTTGAAGGACACAACTAAAATATGCATTTTCATAACCTGTAATGAATGCCTCATGAACAAGGACGTTTTGGGTGTGAGATGTTAAATGGATGCATGCATTGAAGCAAAAATAGTATGATTTTTGAAGTACTGTAATATTTATATTTCAAGGTAAAGTGTAGTTATGGTGGGCTGGGACAAAAAGAAATGCTGTTTTCTAAGTTCTGCACTGAGGCCCTATTAATGTTTAAGTTATTTATCTGAAATATGCACGTAGGTTATGGTGAGGGGCACTTTGTCTATGTTTAATGTCTTTTATCTTCACTTTACGTAAAGTTGTGTGCAAAAGTCTGGGTGCCCTGTTAAAACTGCATGTTTTATTGAGTTCCTTAGTGAAAATAAGCACACATCCTTTACAGAGAACACTTCAGCATATTTTAAAGCACTGTTTATTAGCTGAATTTAACATACTGCAGGACAAAAAATGTGGCCTGGACAAAAGTTATAGAACATTTTATTTTTTCCCAATGTTGCACTCAGCGAATAAATAGAAATTCTACAGTAAATGTACAAAAAAGGACACATTGAAGTCATTTAAGTCTATTTTTTTACCTAAATGGAATAGCAATGGGACACAAATGAACAAATTTCAACACAGTCAGACAAGAACGGTTTATTCTATTCTACAATTATAAAAAGTAAACCAAATACTAAGGTTGAGACACCAAGCACAGAGATCATAAAGCTTCCTTTTAAGCCAGTTTGTCAAAACCCAGTGCTGAATATGTATTTAAATGTTCGTTTAACTGTCATTCCTTGACACTTTTGTCCCAAATAGTGTATAATAATGTTAAAAGGCCCCCACTACAGCAACACAGCTAAACGCACAGAGCTGACTCTCCAAACTTCTGCTAAATAAACACATAGTCTTCATTTAGGTCCTACTGGGAGTACAGGAGAACTGTAAGAGTTAACTCAACACTGGGGATTTTGCTGCGGAGGGGAAGAGTTCCCAGTACCAGCGAAGGGCGGATTTGACTGAAAGAATTTTTACTCCGAAACGACCTGAGGCTGAGAGGCATGTGATCTGAAGAAGCTGATGGGGGGCGTGGGAAATACTTGTGAAGAAAAAGGACCTGAGAGGATTAACCCCAAATTCTCACTGAACCGTCAGAAGCAGGAGAAGCTCTTCTCTCTGCTGAGATGCGGCTGCTGGCTCTAATCACTCTTGTCGTCCAGTTGCTGAAACCATCATATCAGCAGTTTCCCCGACAATGCGTCACCAGAGAGGTCCTCACTTCCAAGGAATGCTGTCCCGTTTGGGAAGGGGATGGCTCAGCCTGTGGAGCCCGATCGGGCCGGGGAGCGTGCCAAGATGTGGTCGTGTCCGAGGAGCCTAACGGCCCCCAATTCCCATTTGAAGGCATAGACGACAGAGAGAGGTGGCCACTGGTGTTCTACAACCGCACCTGCCGCTGCCTCCAAAACTACATGGGCTACAACTGTGGAGAGTGCAGCTTTGGCTACTTCGGACCAAACTGTAGAGAAAGGCGCGAATTGATTCGGAGAAGCGTTTTCCAGCTGTCGACCACAGAAAAGCAGAAGTTTATTGCTTACCTGAATCTCGCCAAGAACACAGTCAGCCAAGATTATGTGATTGCGATCGGCACCTACAGCGAAATGAACAACGGCACCAACCCTCTGTTCAGGAATGTGTCCGTCTATGATCTGTTCGTTTGGATGCACTACTATGTTTCTCGACACGCTATGCTAGGTGGCACCAATAATATATGGATGGGGGTGGACTTTGGGCACTGGGCGCCGGCCTTCTTGCCATGGCACAGGGTGTTCTTGCTGCGCTGGGAACATGAGATAAGGAAGTTGACGGGAGACTTCGGTTTCACTGTTCCGTACTGGGACTGGAGAGATGCGCAGGAATGCCAAGTATGCACCGACGATCTCGTGGGGAGCCAGAGCCGTCTCGACCCCAACCTCATCAGTCCATCATCTGTGTTCTCCTCCTGGAAGGTAAGTAAAAAAAACATTTTGTAGATAAATTACTATAAACTCCATCAGAGGGAAAATGCACTAGTGTAGGTACCAGTTTATTAGGTTTATTAGGCCACTTTTCTACATAAAACTTTCAATAAAGGTGCCAAAAATTTCTTCACAAGTTATGGAAGAACTTGCTTTGCAAAGCAGTCGTTCTCAAACTGCTCCTCAAGGCCCCCCAGAGGGTCCACATTTTCGCTCCAACTCAATTCATAGCATATATAGCTAGCAGAAAAATGTTGACCTTGTGGGGTTCCCTGAGAACCGGGTTGAGAACTACTGCCCTAAAGAACCTTTCAGTCATGGTACTTTTAAGAATAATTTCTGAAACTGTGATCTGTGGGTATGAAGAACCTCTAAGAACCTCCTCATAATGTAAAGGTGAATAAATCCATGTCGTGTACTTGAGTTCTCACTTGTAAAATATTGTTTCAGTGTCAAAATGTCCCTCTGGTACAGTATTACATGAATCACTTTACACTCTTAAAAAGGTGCTACAAAGGGTTCTTTGTAAAAAAACAGTGCCATAGAAGAACCGCTTTAGCTTCCCTAATGGACCACGTTTGGGAAAGAGATTTGTATGAAGAATTATTGAAAAATCTGAAAAACTTCACATGATGTAAAGGTTCTTTTGCAATTTAAAGGTTTCTCCTAGAACCTTTACATTACATGGAGATTCTTTGAGGAACCTGTGAGGAGCTATCTACACTCTTAAAAATGAAAGTGCCAGAAGCATTTGTTTTTATGTAGTAGCGTACAAGAACCACTTTGGGTTCCCTAAAAACCTTTCAGTGGATGGTTCTTTGGAGAACCACTTTTGTAAATGAGATGTGTGAGGGTGAAGAACCTCTTTTAAGTTTCATGAAACTTCATATAATTTGAAGGTTCTAAGACGAATTCTTAAATTGATATAGAACATTTACATTATGTGGAGGTTCTTTGAGGAACCTGTGAGGAACCATCTACACTTAAAAAATTTTTATTGTTCCCTTAAAACCTTTGGTTCCCTTAAAACCTTTGGTTTCCTGAAAACCCCCCCTTAAAACCTTTCAATGGATGGCCCAAGTTCTGCACCTGTGTGAGGGTGTAGAACCTTTTTTAAGTTTCAAGAAGCTTCATATAATTTGAAGGTTCTAAAAAGAATTCTTAAATTTGTATGGAACCTTTTCATTATTTGTAAGTTTTTTGACAAATTTAAGTGCCAGAAGCATTTGTTTTTATGTAGTGGCGTACAAGAACCACTTTTGGTTTCCTAAAAACCTTTCACTGGATGGTTCTTTGGAGAACCATTTTGTAAATGAGGTGTGTGAGGGTGAAGAACCCTTTTAAAGATTCAAGAACCATCATATAATGTAAAGGTTCTAGGAAAACCACTTAAATTGGTATAGAACCTTTACATTATGCAAAAGTTCTCGACATTTTAAATCAATTCTTCACACTCTCAAATCTCAAGTTTCAAATTTCAAGCATGGTTCTTTAGGGAAAAGTGGTTCAGATCCATTTGTGGCACCTTCGTATTAAGATTGTACATATAAGGTTTCAGACTTAGACTTCATATAAAGGTTCCAATAAAGGTGCCAGGACGTCACTTCTGCTTCCCTAAAGAACTTTTTAATGATGGTACCATTTCTGAAATTGAGATATGGTGAGGATGGAGAACCTATAAGAACTTCCACATCATGTAAAGGTACCATACAACCAAGCCAAGAACCATAGAGGAACCTTTACTTTTTAAGAGTGCACAGCTACCACAGCTGCATTTTGTAGGTAAACAATTACTGACTTCAACCCATCTGCACCATCAATCAGCTCCTCTCTAACCCATCAATCAATGAGAAGGGACCACCATAGGACCACCACTGAGATATTAATGTTTGGAGTATTCTCAGCACAGCAGTGATGCTGACATGGTGGTGGCATGTTAGTATGTGCTTGTATGAGTGTGTGTAGAACTGATCCACTGTTATTTGAAAGCCTCACTGATATTAGATGTTTATGGTTGGTCCTATACAGTGAACACAGTATTGAGTGTTCTTGTGTTTTTATAGGTGATTTGCTCCAGAGCACCAGAGTACAGCTTAAGGGGTGTATTGTGTGATGGAAGAGAGGAAGGACCCTTATTGCGCAACCCTGGTAACCATGACCGGAACTTGGCGGATGGACTGCCCACGTCCGCTGAAGTGGACTTTACTCTCAGCCTGTCCCAGTACGACACTGGACCAATGGACCGTACGGCCAACATGAGCTTCAGGAACACACTGGAAGGTTAAATACTACGATAAACAAGAGACACATACTGTGCATCACTTGAGATGACATTCCAATGATGTTGCGTGTATTAGGAATTTTTCTTGGTGCTTGGTTACAATATACTACGTTCAATTTAAAGTATTTGCAAAAGTCTGAGACCCCCCTTCGTTTATTTCATTTCCAGTCAAAACTGTCAATAAGCACAAGTTATTTATTTTTCTGTGCCAGTAAAAAAGCAGAAAAGACACAACAGAAAAAGACACAAAAGCCTCAATAACTAAATATAATATCAATTAAAGTTGAGGAGCAATCAAGAAATCTCTACATTTTTAATCATTTTTATGAACTCCTTATACAATATCATATAACCAGTATCCTCAGAAATATCTCCTGAAAAAGTATACTCAGTGGCTATTGAGTGGACACTGACTGGACAGAAAATAACACACATAAAAGGTAGTTTCTGACTTTTGCACAGTACTGTACATCTATACATTGCTCCTGCAATGAACACAATACAATGCACACATACTATACATACCATACATACAGGTCAGTCTTATGCATGCCTGGACATAAGTATGGATAAGGGATAAAGAGCAGTAACTGTGGTGCAGTTATGTGCAAGTCAAACATAGTATAATCTGCAGCAGACGTGTGCTGTAGAAAGTGCTGCATTAAATGTACTCAATTCAACTGTGTACATTATTTATATATTAATAAAATACATTACATCAAATACATCACAACAAAACAGACTTTTGTTGATGTAATATACTTTATCCGTGTGGAAAAAATTGAAATTAAGTAATTAAATTTACACACGTTTCGAGTGGGATTGTAGAGTTTAGGCAAACTGAGTCTGTCTCTCTCTTGATCTACAGTCTGATCCCCCTTCCTTGTGCAGGATTTGGAAATCCTCGGACGGGCCTGGGGAACAGTCCTAAGCTGGGTATGCATGCAGCGCTGCACGTCTTCATGAACGGCTCCATGTCTTCAGTACAGGGTTCAGCCAATGACCCAATTTTCATACTGCACCATGCATTCGTGGATAGGTAAGAATAAGACAGGAGAAACTGACCATGTCCATTCAGGGGTCAAATCCATATGTCCACTTCTTTATATTTCCAGTGATTTAGTATGTCCACGACCATTTCTGGATATTTGGGAGCAGGAGTGGATTTAGTGATTCTGGGGCTCTGGGCAAAGACAAGATTGGGGCCCCCTGGACACACAGTTTTAAATTAGTGGTGCAACTATCTACACTTCAAAAAATAATATCTTGGCAAGTGAACTCATCTTAAATCTCTACTATTTCTCATTTTGAGATTACAGTAAGAATGTTATAAGATGACTATTTTTTTCTTATAAAGATTAAGAATACAGAGAAATCTCTGTATGCAAGGGACAAGGTTGAAAACCAATACTGGATGCTCATGATTTTTGGGCCCTCAAGTGGCACAGCATTAAAAACCAACATGATTCTGTAGAGGAAGTCACTGCATGGGCTCAGGAACATTTCTGAAAACTACTGTCTGTGAACACAGTTCATCACTGCATCCACAAATGCAAGTTAAAACTCTACCAGGCAAAGAACAAACCATATACAAACAGAATCCTAAAACTCTGCCGCCTTCTCTGGGCCCGAGCTCATTTAAGATGGACTGAGGGGAAGTGAAAAAGTGTCCTGCGGTCCGAAGAATCAAAATTTGAAATTCTCTTTGGAAATCATGGACACTGTGTCCTCCGGACTAAAGACCACTCAACTTGTTATCAGTGCACAGTTCAAAATCCAGTATTCATGATGGTATAGGGGGGCATAAGTGCACATGGCATGGGTGACTGGCACATCTGTGAAGGCACCATTAATGCTGAACGATATATACAGGTTTTGGCAACATATGCTGCCATCCAGATGACGTCTTTTTCAGGGGAGGCCTTGATTATTTCAGCAAGACAATGACAAACCACATTCCTGCATGTATTACAACAGCATGGCTCTAGAGTAAAAGAGTCCAAGTGCTAAACTGGCCTGTCTGCAGTCCAGAACCGTCACCATTGAAAACATTTGGCATATAATGAAACAAAAAATACAACAAAGGAGACGCAGAATTCTTAAGCAGCCTAAATTGTGTATCAAACAAGAAAGGGAAAACATTTCTCTTTCAAAACTACAGCAGCGTCTCCACAGTTCCCAAACACTTACAGAGTATTATTAAAAGAAGAGGTGATGAAACACAGAGGTAAACAGGCCCCCGTCCCAACTTTTTTGGAATGTGCTGCTGCCATTAAAATATCAAATGGGCATATATTTTTCAAAAAACAATAACATTTCTCTGTTTTAACACATTATTTCAATTAAATATAGGGTTTACATGATCTGCATATCATTGCACTCCATTTTTATTTAAATACTTCACAGCGTCCTGACTTTATTTGGAAACCTGGTTGTATAAAGGTTTAATAAAAGGTAACATAATAAAATGTCAAAATAAAATCTTGGGTAAAAGAAGTATCCAAGGAGCACAAGCTGTGATTAAATTGTTACAGTCAACTGCAAATATTAAATCAGACAATAAATATATTGGATAAAATGAATAATAATAATAATATTCAAGGGCCCTCAGCAGCTGCTTTTGTCACTTATAGCAAGACAGGCCCTGAGTATGTAACTTTAATCATTACTTTTAATCTGAAAAACACTTCCTATGTGAATAAGACCTTATTTTACATCTCCATCCCCATTTTTTCCTCAGCATCTATGAACAGTGGTTGAGGAGACACCAGCCAGAAAGGTCTCACTACCCACAAGCCAATGCTCCGATTGGACACAACAGTGAATACTACATGGCTCCCTTCCTCCCTCTATACCGGAACATAGATTACTTCATGTCCAGCAAAGAGATGGGCTATGAGTACTCGTACCTGCGAGATCCTGGTGAGTGCATGGTTCCCCACTTTTATACATTTCAGAGATTCCAGCTGTGAATATTGTTTTCATGTCTTTAGCAGAGCAGTCTTGCACTATGTTTTGACCAAGCTGCTTTAGAAGTGGTCAGTTTAGCATTTAGAGCCGTTTCTTACATTTTTTATTATTTTATTATTTCTTTACTATTATGCTTATTTTCCAAAATGTTATTACATTTGTAGGGTTTATGGACTAAAACAAGCCATAATCATTTGTACATGACCATTTTCCAATCTCTATGTAGTCTTTATAACAGTGGTGGGGAACCCCAGTCCTGGAGGGCCGGATTCCTGCACATTTTGATGATTTTCCTGATTCAACTCATCAGTTAATTATCAGGTTTAACTGGTGTGCTAGAGCAGGGAATATATTTACATGTTATTTTTATATCTTAAATACATAGTATTTTTAAAGCTTTTAATTGCCTATTTCAGTTATTAAAACTGTACTTGTCTAGTTGTGCCACCTGACTTTTCAGACTAATTTTAAATCAAACAGTCATCTACTTGGACACCTGTAGAAACTTTTGCCCTTAAACTTCCATTTATACTTACTTTTTCAAATAAATAAACATTATTATAATAATTACACATACCACTGGACATGGTGAACATGTCCAGAACCATTCTAACCATGACTCAAAAATGATATTTTTCCCAAATGTTGTGAAAGGGCTACTGATCTTGGCATTGCACCATGAAGGCCGTTTGAGGTCTTCTATATGATGCAATACACTGGCCCCTCTTTCGTATAAGCACGCCAAAATAAAAGTCCTTTGTTTTTGTTTGTGCTGCCAGCCATTTGAGGAAGTAATAACTTGCAGACAAAAGTTTTTCAGTGAGTTGAGTAAAGTTGCTTTATTTTGCAACATGGGTTTAATCTGAAAGTGTTCAAACATAAAATCATGCCAAACTATTTTTTTTTTTTTTTTAGAATTTTAGATAATTCATTTGCCTTATCAAATTATGACTTAATCAGCAAGTGGTTGCACCACCTGACCTTTTCTACTTTTGGAGGCAAAAAGAAACTAAGATGATTTTTAGATGGATGCACTGAAAATTATTTCAGCAGTATTGTTGAATAATTTAATGTATGTTATGTATCTATTCATTTATTTTTTTGGAAAATAATGGACGTTTGTTTCTCCAGACCTTTGTAAGCAAAACATTTGGTGAAAATGGACCTTTTAACTTTCCGTTAAATACCATTAAAATGGAAGAACCACTTTTGGTTCCCTAAAGAACATTTCAGTGGATCTTCTATAGCATCACAAAGAAACCTGTTTGGCAATTTTGTTAAGCATGACGAGGAAAGTTTAAGGCTAAATTCTCCCAAAGGAATCAAAGAACTCGAGCTGGTTTGAGCTGAAAGTGAGGGAATGTAACAAAAATTCACCACCTTTATTCACTGATAGAATCACAGCAGCTCAAGTCCCTTCATGTATTTTCATATGAGTCTCTGTCTCCACCTGCAGGTCAGCGGTTTGTCGATGATGTGGCTTCGTATCTGGAGGAGGCGAGGGGGCTGTGGCCGTGGCTTCTGGGGGCAGCTGTCTTGGGGGCCCTTTGCGCTGTAGCCGTGGCTGTGTTTGTAGCTAAAGTCTCCAGGTCCGTGTGGCGGCGCAGGAGCAGGCGACAGGGCTCCGAGAAGCAGCCCCTCATTATCAGCACCGACACAGAGGGCTCCTCGTCCTCTTACAGAACCATGAGGCCATGAGGGATGTGGGCACTAGGGAGGGACAGCATACTTAAAATTATGTAATCATCAGTTTGACAGCTAGGGGGCGACAAAATACATGAAAATGATGTAATAAGCTATGTGGGCACTAGATGGCGACAGCATCTATACAGGGTTACATACAGGGCCTGTGCTTCCACGCTGCAGTGCTGGAGATTGTCTTTGTACTTGAGCCATATTTGCTAATAATTAAGTCCCTCTTGAGCTGAATTATAAAGAAAACTGTGCAACAAAGTGAACTACAAGACTGGAGTTGGGGAAGGAGGATAATGGGTCCTGAGCTTGCTCTCAAGGCACGGATTAATTGGAGAATTCCACTAATTTTTCAAAATTTCTACATATTTAAATGGTTATGATGTAAACAAAGTCATTCAGAATTGTTTGGTGTAAAATGCTCCATTCTGGATAAACTGTCCCAGTCAGAATCGTCCACAGTGGTGGTGATAGGAACCAGACGTCTGAAGAATTTAAAGCCCCCCTCACAGAATGTTATTACATGAAATGGTTTGCCTGACACTGTCTAAGACATCATTTGTTATATTTTTTTGGATCTTACGATTAATTTGGAATTTTTCAAAAAGCCATAATTGTCAGGAGGCATTGGCAGGGTGTCATAAAGATAAATCATTCTAAAAGAAACCTTATTTTTTAAAAATGTATTACTATTTTACCATCATCATTACATATAAAAAGCCAGAAGACGTGTGGGTTCAGTAGTAGTTTTGTATCGTACACCCCTGGTTCCTATGACCACCACTGTAAAGGAATCAGAGTTGCTAAGTTTCTTTACAATTTCACATCAAACCACTCTGAATGACTTACATCTCAAACACTAAATTACATAGAACTTTGGTGGAATTTCCCTTTAATCCTCACCTTGGACTAATTTTTAATGTCAGTTGATACAGTTACAATCAATACATTATTACATTATTATACTTTATTACATCATTACATCAGCCTTAGTTTAGGCTTAACCTCAATCTGGGTCTCACAAGCCCACAAAAGTTCAGGCCTGGCTAAAATCTTGAATTTCTAGCTAGAGTGCTTACATGTAGGCTATTTGACGTCTCTGTCAAATGTAAATGCTTTTTCATTTCATTTAAAGATCAAATGTAACTAGTTTAATTCCTTTTTGAACCTGTGCTCGGCAAACACATGCCTCCTTACTTGCTGTCACAATTCCTTAAAGATAAAAGATAAATAAAGATTTTGTTCAAAATCCATTCTAGTAAAATGTTCTATGACTATATTCTTACACGATACAAATAACAATACAAATGTACCCATTTTTCTCATGTATAGGCTCAGAGCAGATAACAGTAAATTTAATATGGTATTAAAATGTCACAGAGTGTTACAGACAGAGATAGACTAGCATTAACTGAGTGGACCTAATCTCTAAAGTCTGCTCTGTGCATTAGCTCTGAATGACTGATAAAGTCAAATCCCATTGAATGTGGCTCAGTGAGGCGTTTTTGTCAGTCTTGTTCCACTGCGCTGCATATTTGCCTGCATTAACACCCTCAATTTGCATCATTAGCTTATCAACCAGCCTTTAAATGGGTTCGAGATGGGTGTGTAAGAGGAGAGAAAACGCTGGCCCTGGGTGAAGAAGACCGTTGCGCCTGAGAAATGTTACTAAAACCTGTACATCCTGCAAGATGTTTTATTACACTGGGGCTCAAAGCTTACAAGCATGATGCTGTTAGTGATGCTAAAACTAAAAGACAGTTAAAAAAATGTGACAGTCGCAGGTTAAACAGCCTTAAAGGGCCCATATCATGAAAAAATTCATTTTTTTTAAATAAAAGAGTTTGTTGTATCATATAAACACTGTTCCAATGTACCATTCACTCCTCACTGCATGCCGTCAATATATAGAAATGAAACCGCAAAAAAAGCCCATTTTGAATTCATTGTGTTTGTGATGTCACAAAAAACAACATCAGGCTGCAGCAGATTAGCTCCACCCATTTATGCTGAAGCTATAAGGAGAGTTTTAGCCTAGACTGCTTTTTGAATGGGGCACAAAACAGAGCAGCCAATCAGAGCAGAAGTTGCCTATGTATATCCGTCTTAAAAACAGAGTAATAAAAAATATTTACTAAACAAAACAGCCAGTTTAGTTGTAAGGGATAAAAAGAGGTTGGAAAATGGTTATGTAAAAATTATTTATGACTGTTTTTGCTACATAAAACCACACAATTGTTAGAAGTGGACTTCAAGGAAAAAATTAAATCAAAGAAAAATATCAAATATGGGCCCTTTAAATTGCTAATCCTATGATTTTTCAACATTTCTCATAATTTAATGGTTAAGATGTAAACAAAAAGACATTCAGAGTGGTTTGATGTAAAATGTTCCATTCTATAGAAAATGATCAACTCTAAACTCTTCACAGTGGTGGTGATGGGAACCAGACGTCCTAAGCGTTTAATGCCTCTAAAAGCTCTTTCCTTCGCCAGAAACATTGTTTTACGATTGTTCTCAGATCAGCGTTTAGCATATTTCATATTTTTTAAAAGCCACCCAGGGAGGAGAGGTACATGCAGGTTGCTGTCAGGCGAATTAGATTTTAAAGCAAAATTAATTTTCTGATTTACCATCATTTAACCATTATCAGCATCATATGGGAAAGAGTGGAGCTCACTGATCACTTTTGGATAGTAAATGAAATACTAACCAAATGTCATTCCATGAAAAGAGTTTCATTTGAGAACATTCAGTGCAACGTATAAGTGGGAAAATCTGGTAATGAGTATCTTTTGAGCTGAAATATATTCTTTTTAAGTCCATCATTAACATAATATATGCTTTTTATTGCAAGTAAGATCAATCAAAAAAAAAAAAACTAAATAAATACTAAATAACAACCTAAATAAATATTTTTATTCGTCGTAGAAATATGACCATATGAATGCTAGGCGTGTCGTGTAGTGGGCGTGTCACCGTGTTGGCGCGCCTCCCGGTGGGCGGATGGTGCAGGATGCAGATGAGGGAGGCTGCTGGAGGACACGGCTCCTGATTGGCGCTGATTGGCGTCACCTGTTCGTAGTTGTGCTCAGAATTTAAATGTTTTCAGCTGAAGGCCGGTAAAGAGGTGGAGATTCCGTAAGAATAGCGTGATTATTTAGTTTGACCTGCTCTGCTGGTCCTTTTGTGTGTCTTAAATCTGCGCGTGGGTCATATTTGGTCATTTCTTCGTTTGTGAGTGGTCGCACAGGTTAACCCTTCACAATGCCGACCGAGAACCTGGGCGACAAACGCATGGCCAAGTTCAAAAACAAGGGCAAGGAGCCGACGGTGAGTTTTAAAGGGGAGCTCAGCCGTTTTTCACAGAATTCTACACAGTTAAAGCGTTGAGGTGCAAACAGACATTCAGAGACGTTTAACTTGAGATGCTCAGTTCTAGAGAAACTTGCCGAGTCAGAATCGTTCCCAGTGGTGGTGATAGGAACCAGACGTCTGAAGTGTTTAATGCCTCTGAAAACTCTCACAAAGAAAGTTATTACAATAAATTGTTAGATATGCTGCCTGATGTCTGACACATTGTTTTACGATAAATTTGTGGTAAAGTTTTGGCCTAAAATGTTTTAATTCGTTTATTTTAATCATTTCATGGTGGAGGGGTACATGCAGGGTGTTGTGAGGCAAAATAGTTCCTCAAAACTGTATTTCTTCAGATTTATGACTCTTGCCATCAGTAATACATATAAAAACTCAGACAGGTTGGTTCACTTGTGGTTTTGGATAGTAAACCACTAAAGTTTGTCTACAGTGAACCACTTCACATAAAGCCAATAACTAAATCTGTTCATCTTAAGGACTTAATTTATTTAGAAATGTGAAATTCCCCTTTAAGCTCCTATTTAAAGACCATTCCACAGACTTCTTTAGATGTTTCAAAGCGTCTGCACCTGATAATTGCAATGCAGCTCATTGTAAAGAAGGCTATTGACTTTACAGTGGTGGTCATAGGAACCAGGGGCTGGATCTTTACAGCATGGGCACTTTCTTCACTGTCTAAAACCACTGTGAAGCTTCTACATGTAATGATGTTTGGGGGCTATTTTGCCTTATGATGTCTGTGCCACTACCCAACGACTGGATTATGCATCTGACCATTTTGGACCAAAACCTTATCTCAACTATTGTAAAACCGCTTCACAGTGGTGGTGATGGGAACCAGATGTCCACCAGAGTTTAATGCCTCTAAAAGCTCCCTCACAAAGTTTATTACATGAGATGGTTACAATTATACAGCCTGAGGCCTGAGACGTGGTTTTACAATCACTGAGATCAGGTTTTTGCATAGTGTATATATTTTAAAAGCCATCCAGGGAGGAGAGGTACATGAAGGGTGCTGTACGACAATAGATTTTAAAGTGAATAATCTTCTGATTTACCACCAGTTAACCATTATTAGCAACATGTATAAAAGACTGGTCACTTTTGGATAGTAAATAAAATGCTGTCTTTTATTACTATGATGTCTGTGCCACTACCCAATGAGTGGAATATGTATCTGATTTGTTATGGACCAAAACTTTATCTCTGAACTATTGTAAAACAGTGTCTGTCTTCAGGCAGCTTGTTCATAACCATTTTATGCTGTACCTTTTTATGCAGGCTTTAAACTCTCCAGATGTCTGGTTCCTATCACCACCACTGAACAATTCTGTTTATCTAGGATGGTGCATTTTGCATCAAACCACTCTGAATGACTCTGTTTACATCTTAACCATTGAATTATTCAATTTTGCTTTGTCTTTGTTCGTTCCTGAAGAAAATGCGTGAACGCAGAGTGGCGGAGTGTGTTGAACTTCGTAAAGCACAAAGGGTGGAGAGTATCCTGAAGAGGAGAAACATCTCGTCTCAGCCCGATGAAGAGCCCCTGTCGCCAGAGTACAACACTGACAACCAACAGGTTAGTCACATGATTTCATTTTACCTTTAAATGTATTACGGTACTCTTACCTGATCTTTGTGTTGCTCGATCAGGTGATATCTGCAACAATCCAGGAGATTATCGCCAATGTTAGCAGCGACTGTCCTGAGAAACAGACACAAGGTTGTCAGACGGCCAGGTAGAGCTGCTTGTTTCATTTATCGTTATCTCTCGTGGGCTTAAAGTTCTTGAGCGTTTCATGGCCACGTTCTGCTGTCTGTTTAGGAAGCTACTGTCACGGGAGAGGAACCCTCCACTGAAGGAGATAGTGGATGCAGGCCTGCTGTCCCGCTTTGTGGAGTTCTTGGGCAGGAACGATAATCCCACTCTGCAGTTTGAGGCCGCCTGGTCCCTCACCAATGTGGCATCAGGCACCTCATGGCACACACAGCAGGTGGTTGAACACGGAGCAGTGCCTGCCTTCATTGCCCTCTTAGCCTCGCCCATGCTCAACATAAGTGAACAGGCTGTCTGGGCTCTGGGGAACATTGCAGGTAACACCTGTGACCACTTCTTGTTGGGGCAAGAAATGTCACACTTGTTTATATCTTTCAGTTGCTATTGGCACTTCTTGTTTGCCCCCCAACCCTCTTGAAGCATTAGGTGCAGGTTCCTGGGGTCCTTCCAGGCTTTGAAGTAACTTGGTTCTAAGTATTTTTAGAAAGCAGTGGCTGTCTAAGGGGTGTAACAGTCGTTATTGTATTAGACACAGTAGTGTCTGGATACATTAGCCTCTTATTCTCTGGGGTATATTTTGGTTTTTCCATCTGATTTTATGTGACCAAATCTTAAGGCAAATTATTCAGTAACTGCATGAAATGAATGTGAATTTTCATTTTATTTACTTATTTATTTTTGTAAAAGCTTCCCTCAAATTAACAATGTGTTATGATCACACACATTGCTATATGCTTACAACTTATTGCTGAAAGTCAAATCTTAGATGCTCTTTGTATTTTATAAAAATGTTTACAGAGCAGATCACTGAAGAGACGCCATCTGTTTATAGTTTATAGCACGGATTTGTGGAAAAATGGGTCAAATTTCAGTAGACAAAAAAATGTGAGTTCAGCATTTTCTATTATGAGGGTTTAAAATGACATTACCCCTCTATTTGACTGGAAAAGACAGTTACAGCTCTCATGACACCCACTTTTTGAATGTGGTTTATGAAATATGAAAGTTGTGAAGAATATGATGAAGTGCGTTTTGGAACCACTGGTGGTCCCAAAGAGTTTAAGAGGTTAATATAGCAAATTAATGGCTGAAAATACATACTTGCATTAATGTTAGTTGTGTTCAGTTTTGGAACAATTAGTATTAAGTACAATATTCAGATGTTTCCCTTGTATCCCGACTAAAGGCTCTAGTTACTGGCTAATGTTAGCCCTTAGCTGACACTAGTCGCAAGCTAACATGGTAGTCATGATACTATATGGGACAGCACAACTTGATTGATATATCTGTAGCTAAATGTGTCCAGTGTTCTTCCACAGGTGATGGCCCAGCATATAGAGATGCACTTATTGACTGCAATGTAATCCCTGCTCTACTGGCTCGACTGACGCCTGATGCCCCAGTAAGTCCATTACTGACCTGAACTTCATTCATAAAGCACAGGAAATGAGCCACTTTATTTTTCCCTCCAGGTTGGCTACCTCCGCAATCTGACATGGACCCTCTCGAACCTGTGCAGAAACAAGAACCCTTTCCCTCGCTTTTCTGCTGTCCAGCAGATGCTTCCCTCCATTATACAGCTGATTCACCATAGCGACAAATCCGTCTTGTCGGATGCGTGCTGGGCTATCTCCTACCTCACGGACGGGCCCAACGAGCGGATTGATGTTGTAATTAAGACTGGAATCCTTCCACGGCTGGTTGAGCTGCTGGGCTTTGAGGAGCTTGCAGTGGTGGTGAATATAGTTTTACAGAGGCTTAGAGTTAAATTGAGTAAACTAATTTCAGTTCTATTAAGGCAATGATTGTTACAAACTTTCTGAGGGAGGGGTGGGGCTGTGCACCTGATCAGACTCTTCTATTTTCAAAAACAGACTCCAGCACTGCGCTCCATTGGGAACATTGTGAGCGGCTCAGATCTGCAGACGCAGATGGCCATTGACGCAGGCGTGCTCAACGCGCTGCCTAAACTAATGCGCCACCCCAAACCCAGCGTGCAGAAGGAGGCAGCCTGGGCTGTATCCAACATTGCAGCTGGACCACGCCAACAGATCCAGCAACTAATCACGTGTGGTCTACTGGCGCCCCTTGTGGACCTCCTGAAGAATGTAGGTAGTGAAGGCTCCATTTACTGTATAGGTCTAAAAAAGATTGGGACAGTCTTGGGCAAAAATTAAAGCTAGTCTTAAGATTTTCATGGAAGTTCTCCACTGTTTGCTCCAATTCCAACTAAGGTTAATGTTAAAGATGGTAAGCCTGTTCAGGTATGTGTTGGATGTTCTGATACGTGCTGTTCTCCAGAAAACATGGGCTACGATTACGTTTTCAGATCTGATGTTTTCAGGGCTGTGTAGACACAAATCTGATCTTTTCAAATCTGACTTGAGCCACTTTCATATGTGGTCCTAGATCGGATACATACCCGATTCATGGCCATGTGACCTTAATGTGACGCTCAGATCAGAATTCGTGTCCTTTTTTCCATCATGCGCCATCGTTCAGCATTACCATGGCAGCGTTACCATCTCACCTTTTTCTCCTTCGTCTCGCTCTAATAATGAAGCTGAGAGCTGATCAGAGTTAATTATCTTCACAGCGAAGCTCGTTCTGCTTGTTAGTCTGTTTGATGCTGCATGTGATTCATTCACGTGACGTTACTGAGTAGGATGTGCGCATGAGGGTCGTTTCAGGACGCCGGTTCGTTCACATTAATGACAGATTTGAATCCCTTACCTAAACAAATGTGAACCATTGCATCAGAGATCGGATTTGAGCAATGTAGCAGGTTAACCTTGATCAGAATTCTAAACTCTAAGTGACGTGCTCTGAGACTACATTAGTTATAAAGGAGTGTCAGTTTTGGGATCATTCAGTCAGGTTTAAGGGAGGCACAGTTGGGATTGGCCAAGATCTGAGCTGGCAGACTTGCTCGAAGCATTAAAATGTAGGGGCATAATTATGCATGACCTGTTAAATAGCTGGTTGCCTTTCTTCTGATGTAGCACTCATTGATTCCTGTTATTTAAATGGTTTCTATGGTTTTAAATAGAAATATAAAATGCTAGTTTGGCCCATTTAAAAGCAAATGTTTTACATTGAAAGTTCAGTGAATAGAGTACTGGAAGTGTTTCATGTGTACGTTCACCCAACATGGTGCCGAATCCGAATAGTCCATATTCATTATCTGTGCAGTCCTAGTTAAGCTACAAGTCCTTCAGTGTGTTTGGCTGTTAAGTGTGTATTATAAAGAAACCTGCCAACTTGGATTATCTTTACAAATGTGGTGAATGGTTATGTGTATGTAGCCATTATTTACTATCCTGAACCTGTTGTTGGGGAGGGGGGCGGGGTTTGCCTTACTATGAATGCATTTAAATATTTTAGACCAAAACCTATATGGAACAATGCATCTGTCACAGTGTGACTCATGTATTGGCTTTAATTGTATTTGGCTTCTTCAGACATCATTTGCATAACCACTGTATTAGTTTCTCTCTAATGGTGCCTCTTGTATCAAACCACTCTGGTTCCCCCAAAGTAATCTTAGGAACATAACTCTTAAATGGCTGTGTGAGCATCTTACTGAACACTACCAGCCAAGATGATCTGGTGCCTTTAGGAGACCCAGTACTGTTACTGTTTACACCCTAACAGTGTAACTGCAGATATTTCAGAAAAATGGTACCCTTTAATTTAAAAATTCCCCTTTAAGAAAGTACCAGTGTTATCATGCATAACTTGACTTTGTCTGCTGGACACATCTTTCAGGCTGACTTTAAAACCCAGCGAGAGGCTGTCTGGGCAGTCACCAACTACACCAGCGGAGGAACAGTGGAGCAGGTAGTACAGCTCGTCAAGTGTGGTGGTCTGGAAGCCATCCTAAACCTACTTACAGTCAAAGATGCCAAGACTGTCCTGGTCATCCTGGATGCTGTCAATAACATTTTCTTGGTAAGGGTGCCATCAAGGACCTTATAGCAGTTGACATTGGATCTTCTGTATTGGTTGCATTACTAGCAGGAAAGCCATTTAATAAATGGGTGACCTGTTTGGCTTATTGACTGACCAAGCCTCCACTTGTTTCCCCAGGCTGCTGAGAAGCTAGGGGAGGTGGAGAAGCTTTGCCTGCTGGTGGAAGAGATGGGTGGACTGGATCGCATTGAGCTCCTCCAGAATCATGAAAACAATGCAGTGTATCGTGCCGCCCAAGGACTCATAGAGAAATACTTCAGCGAGGTGGGTTCACTGGAACAGAACTTCACTGAACCTGATGTGCTGCACAGAAATTGGGTTTGGTTGCATTTGTAGGTTATTTGAGCTGTACTTTGTACCTGTCCCCCTTGTCAAACTGCAGGATGGTGAAGATGAATGTCTGAAGACTGAAGCCACTGAAACGGACTTTGTTTTTGGACCAACTGAGGTTCAGAGAAGATTTGACTTTTGATGTGTCTTATGCATTTAAGTTATGGATTAAATAAATATTTTTGCAGTATTTGGTCACTTGTTTTTCTTTGGAATATGCCCAGCTGGCCAAAAACCTAGTACAAAGTACAGAGATGCACTGCACTTCTGTTTACTTTCAGAAGGCTGGATTGCATTCTGGAAAGTGTTTAACCATTTACTGCAGAAGTTATAAAATATTAGTGTTTTCAAAACAATGACTTTGGGGGTGGGGGAGTTTTTGCATTTTGTTGCCATATGGCAACAGCACAGGATGGGACTGCAGTTTGCAGTGCATAAAAAGAAGGGGGTGTAAAATTGCACTGCAGTAAAAGCTACATTCATCATCCAGGCATGAGGGGAAGTGCATAATAGTGATAAATTCTTATTTATCTAAACTGGTTTTGCCTGTGAAAGAAATTGTAACTTCTATTTTATGTGTAAACAGTATTCTGCCAGAATCAGACCACCTATTAATGTGGTTAATTTTCAATGCAAGAAGCCTTTGTGTAGAAGGGCTGTGGCAGAAAACATTTAACTATACAGCTAAATAGCCCATCTTGGTATTTCATGTCTATCCTTTTTGCCTTATCTGCCATTCTTGTCTTCAGATGACTTAAGATTCCTTCATGGAATCAATTTACATCTCAGATGTCCAGTTAGTGTTCTAGTGCAATTTTAACAGCTTCTTGATTGTACATCCTTTTGGACCCATAGCACTGACTTGTCTTCACAGTGTAAGGATGGACAAACACCTGTTGTGTGTGTTTTTTTTTTAGTTCCATGTGGTTTTGTTGTAATACTGGACAAGAAAAAGGTTGAATTAAGTCACTAAACTTTTACTACATAGTGCTGCCATATGGCTACAATTAGATGAATTTGTATAATACTGTATAACCCTATATTCCCTGACCACATGTCTTCCTGTTGTCTGTATAATAGTGATCATTGTGGTGGTCTACCAGGTCTTGCACAGTTGTTAGGAGTCACTTTCTGACATTTTAAATTCTACTTTTGGAAACTTTTTTTCCCCCCATATTTTTCTTTTGACCTTACTTATGCAAATGGATTATTTTCTCTAATCTCAGAAGTATCTCCTTTTACACATCACATCAGATTTCTCATGATGTAGATGCACATAAGGAACCTAAAGCGTGACTGGGTAGTTGTAAGAATGTCTCTGAAAGGGAACAGACGGTCAGTGACGAAGAGCTATACCTCTGTAAAGTGTCAGTAGGGTGTAAAGTAATGAGTAGACAAATTAAATACTGACAGATTTGATAGACTTCAGTGTTGGAGGGTTTTGTATAATTTTCTGATAAATGTTTTCTGCTTTTCCCCCTGATACGGAAAAAATAACTTGGCCATTTTGACTAAACATATAGAGAGGACTAACATGGGTGAAGATATACAGACAACAGGAAAAAGTATACTGTATTACACAAAGCCTTGTTTCCTAAAGTAAACAAAAAATTAAGTCAGACTTAAAAGTAATTGATGCCATATGGCAACAATGCAGTAAAGAGTTAAAGACTTAATTCAACCTTTTCACCTTCTTTTGTTTCCTTTGTCCACTATTATACTGCAAAACTTACATAGATCATATTTTTATTGGACATTAACCAATTTCTACATGGCTACAGATGGGCTAAGTGGTGGTTTAACTCCCATCTCCAATACATGCTTATTCTACTAAAAAAGTAGACCCGTCTCAAACGACATGCTTCTATGAATCATTTTCAGCAATGAATCTAGGGGTGTGAGTGGTCCGACCTTTAATAAACTCAGTAATTGTCGTAGGCAAATCTTAAAACATGGAGGGAAAAACAGGAATGTGTATGTGATACAATGATAAAATCAAAGATGACAAAAGCTCTGTTTCAATGAAGATCCGAAGACCTCCAATATCTCCTGAAACTGAGTTGACAACAAAGGGACAATAGCATACCATCGTCGCTTTCAAGTTTATGTTAAACTGGCTCTGGAACTCTCAAGCTCCAAGTGTGGAAAATGTGCTGGCTGATGGTGCAAAGTACCAAACAGCCACTCTTAAAAACCTACTACAATCATTACTGTAATTTCAAATGATATTCTTTGGAATGTGAAAAGCTAAAAAGCACTGTCATGTTGCAAACTGCAATGACATCAGGACATGTAGAAAAAAACTCTAGTCTTCACAGAAGGAAACGCTTTCATGCACCTAGTCATCTTCCTGAACTTCTCGCATTATAGAATCAGTTTGAAGACTTCATACAGTACTTCACTGTTGCTCTTGCATGTTTGTTTAATCGTCATCATCGTCGCTATCGCTTTCTTTCTTCTTCTCCGGTTCTTTGGGCGGACTGGTCACAGGTGGAAGGTCCAGCCGTCCCCAAGACACTGGCTCGGCTTTCTTCAACACAATCTCGATCTTAGCAGCCATCATGTTCATTGTGCTTTTGCTTATGTCGATGACCTACGGCAAGAAGAATGAAAAAATTTCTTTGATGTATATAAGAAACTAATTTGGTGTTTAATTATTCAAATAAACGTTTGCTATGATAACTAAAATCAATACTTACACCCCATAAGATGATCTTCTGTTCGAATTCCTTGTCTCCATCAAATATAATGTGAATATCCAGCTGAAACAGAGAGAATGGCTTTTAGAATGAAGCTGGTTTTTGAGCTTGTTACTTCAGTAAAGGCTTCTGGCTCAGTTATTCTTAATGGCTATTCTGCAATGACAACTTAATCAACATTAAACATGTCTGAAAAAGGACTGAATGAAATTTGGCAAACACCATGACTGTAACTGCAGGAAAACAGTGTAACATTTTGTGTCAAAGTTGACCAAACCACTGAAACCATAACCTAAAACTGCAATATATTATTGCACATACAGGAAATAAATACTAAACTGTACCACAATTATAAAAACAGTCATAAATGTTTCAGAAAGTTATGTCAGGTTTTTCATATTGTGGTGATTTCTATATTTTGGGCTATAACACATCATAGAAGAAAACAAGACATACTGTGGTGCTGTTCCCGTCCACATAGCTCAGTTCAGGGATGGAGTTTTTGGCGTAGACAGTTATGGTGACTTGACTCCCTGTTTGGTGCCAATCAAACCTGCATGGAACAACCTTTTTACCCTGTGAACATACAAGAACACTGAATCATTAATACAATATACTTGAACAGTGTTCCTGGAGGAACCATTTTCAGTTAGACAGATTTGTGTTCAGTCATCTGAGAAAATTTTGTTTCAAACAAAAGATTTTAACTACTTTTACACTTCCACACTGATTGGTACTGGAGGACACTGCACAAATTGTTCTCATAGTATTGTGTCAGTATCTGTGATAGTTAATATTACAGGGCATGAACAGAAACGCACCATGTCCTTCTTGCGCCACAGATGCTTTCCTTTGGAGCATCCCTCTTGTGAAAGAAAAGTGTTGAAGTCAGATGTTTTCCTCTTGCAGCAGCTCCAGTATTTCATCCTTAGAAGATGAGAAAAAAAATTAGCACACAAAAACATAACACATGAGGAATTATCTCTCTGGTTTCACCTTACACTGTGTAATATTTTATACTGGCTATGCTATTAAAGAAAAATAAATTATACTATTAAGGTTATCAATCCTTATGGAAGATATAGGGGAAAAGCCCATAATAAACCCACAGACTGTATCCACCAACTTTTTAATTGTGAAATACCTTAAGTACTAAAAATAATGGGCATCTAGTAACACAACTTTGTTTATTAGTATGAATTTTGAGCCAATTTCATTACTTTAGTGTACTTGAGATATTGGTGTAAATGTGGATGGACTGTCCTGAGGTCACCAATTTTGTGAAACAATGTTAAAGTTCGTACTGTTTATAAACTAAAGATTAAAATGTAGATTAATGACAATTAGTGGTTGAAAATACAGCATTCCAGTTTTATAATTATTTAATCACCACAAACAAACAATTTTTCCTGTGTTTTTCAAAAGTTCGCAATTGTTTCGATAGTGGGTTTAAATGGTACACCATCATGACTAAACCTTACACATATGCTAATTATACTTTGGGACAAACATGTTACTTTGTCAAACTTTCAAATGCATCAATTATTGTGGCAAGAACTAAAACGCTAAGACTAGTCAGCTAGTTGCCTCAGTAAGAAACAGCCCCAGCTTGAATGAATTAAATATTAATGTTTGTTTTGTTCCCACTTTTTCTGTTTGTTATTACTCCCATGAAATAGTGTTTGTTGTTCATAAGATTAGCAATGATTAAAATGAATAATTTTCTAAAAATAAATTATCTAAAATAAAACGCTGGCTGAACTTTTTACAGACACAAGCCCATTTCAGACTTTTACTTTATTGCATTATTTCTTTTTAATAAAATCATAGAAAACTTGCCTATTTGAGTCAAATGAGAGATTAATATTTAATTTAATTATATCACTAAAACCTAGAAAATCCTAATAAAGACAATGTTCTCTTGGTTTAGGTGGACTTACTGGGGGCTTTGCTCCAATTAACATATAATTATAGATAATTTATGAGTGAGCTGTTTACCCTTCATGGAAGATGGGGACTCCAGCATGAAAAGAGCAGACTTCTTCATCACTCTCTGGTCCATTGAAGGTCTGAGAAAAAGAATAGAAAAGAACAAATCATTACATAATTATTCACTCGAAGTTCAGGAGAGGACGCATTACTGCAGAAACCTTAATTAGCGGAGGACAGTACCTTAGTGCAGCCTCCATTTTTACAAGATGTTCCAATCTTAATTTCGTCTCCTTCCTCCTCTGAAAGACAACAAAAAACGGTCAGATAAACAGTGTTTCTGTCAAAAAAAACAAGAACACACCAATTTCACAGCTGGGAGGTTGTGTGCGCAGAGTTATAAAAATGGCTCACCTTTTTTGTCGGGTGCATTTTCAGACAGCTTGAGCTTTTCTAAAGCCTGTTTGAGTGAGGCAGAGACCTTCTGCTGAAGTCTTGAGATGGGTTCATCCGGACTGAATAAACAACAGTAAGAGATTGTTACGTGTCTCGTCCTAATGAAGTTGTCAAATTTACGTTTTTATTTCAATAATAAACACTTTGTAACATGTTTCTGCTTAGGGTTCCACACTGTGATCCAGGTGACTTCTATTGTGGGCAGGACTGTCTAAACAGTAATTTCCTCTAGCTCAGTGGTTCACAGTCCTGGTCCTGTAGTGCCCCTGCCCTGCATAGATGGGTGTTATCTCTTCTCCAACATACCTGATATTAACTAATCAGATGATTCTCAAATGATAGAGCAAGCATTGCACCTAACAGTCGCTCTACTAGTTAAGATGACCTTAACCCTTAAAATGCGATTGGGGAAACTGGGGTGAGCTCATTAACAAGCCCTGAGCTGAAGTCTAAACTACTAAACTGTACAGAGCAAAGGTTTTCCAGGACAAGGAGCATTTCTTACAAAGCAGAATTTCTTCCTTAGCAGCAAACTTGAAACTTACTTTGATCTAACCCCAGATTTTTTTTCCCCCTCATGATAGATAGATAGATAGATACTTTATTGATCCCGAAGGAAATTTAGCACATTTGATACTGGCTGACTTTCTACTGGGACACATCACCAACTTCTGCTGCATGTATAACCTGCTCTGGGGCAGGTTAAGTTTGGGATTATGTAAACAGCTCTTAGACGAATCAGTGCCAAGGGCAGACTCTCCAGTGGAGGCATACTCCTAGACCTTTTGGGGTCACTTTTTTTTTTGCACGAATTGCAGTGGTGCAATGAAAGACATCAGATATTAAACTGTTCTGTACTCCACATGTACTTAACACACTAAGGTTCAGTTTTCAAAACAGGAATCAAGCATAGTCCTGGACTACACAGCATTCTGTAAAACCGTAGTCCTGGACAAGACTTAATCCCTGTCTAGAAAACCACTTAGCTACCCATTCGTAACATTTTGGCAAAGCCACCACATAATAAAAAAAAGAAAAATTGCTTTTCAACACAGAAAAAAGGTTATTATAATGGAAAAAGCCCCACTCACACAGTGACAGCAGTGACAGAGTTGCTTTATGCCATTAATTAATAACTGCTTTTCTTCACACTTTCTTGTTTCTGAAAAAGCAGCTATTCAACTCCCCTCCACGTTTCACATGATTGTCAATTAAACGTAATGCTTCTATGCATGTGCACAGGGTTTAAACACCCTTTCTAAAAATGAGTTAACCACAACTGCATTTGTTAGGCTTCGAGAAGCTGAAACTTAGTTGTATGTGCTTTGTGAGACAGGCCCCAGGACTGAGAATCCCAGCTCTAACTCTGTAAATGTTACTGTAATACGTAAACGTTGCGCTGAGTAAACTGCTTCACCTTGGCCGCCGAAAACATTCAGCAGGTTTTGGTGCTTGGACGATAGACTCAAAACACTTTGGCTTAAGACCATCCACATCCTTCTTTTCTCCAGATGACTTGACTTCAGGTTTGACAGGCTCGGGGGGCTTCTCCTTGTTATGAGGGCCTTTTGTACAACCCTGAGAGAAATTCAGAAACAGTCAGAACTATCGATTTCAGCATTACTTCAGGTTCGCTCAAGCCAAAATAAGCACGCTCTGTCTCAGAGCTGTTACTCACAGCAATGCTAAGGAAATCTGAGAAGTCAGTTGTTCGTCTCTTACAGCAGGACCAACCCTGATGAGAAACAGAAAAGAAAAGTATGTGTTAAATAGGTCTTCGACTAAAGAATGGTGGAAAAGGTAATCTGATGTACTTAAAGTAATTCGCCTGCCTTTTCCTAACAGTTACCTTCAGTGCATCATGAAAAACTGGTACTCCAGGGTGATAGGTACAACCATCTGTGGGTAGAAGGTTTTAACGTTAATGTTAGTAACTTAAAAACTTGGCAGGAGGCACATAGCTTCAAATAGATACTCACAACTTGCAGACAAATGACATAAATGAACTTTTTTAGTGCCACACAATTTGCCCTGCTCGTTATCTGGCTAGCTAGCCTACCTACAGTCTCTTTCTATGGCAATTAGCAACAACCAGAACGGTACTTGGTTAGCTAGGTTAAGTATCTCACGTTTATATATTCAAAAAAGACTCAAAATGATCAATGTGTTTAACTGTAAGTGCTCAGTCCACGTTAGAAGTATACCATTAGCTTAGCTTAGCTAGCTTAGCTAACCTGAATGGCTCTAAGCATGTCAACTGTTCGTTAGCTTCTAGTTAGCTGTATCCTCAGAGCGGACTGACTCACCTTCTGGATTGTTTTCGGGGTCGAAACGCTGTCCACATCCCTTGTTGTAGCAAAGGACAGACATTATGAAGCTACAGCAGTCGTACACTCGCAAATAAAGCCAAGTTCAGCCTCGGCCGGCGGCTGCAGGCTTGGGTTTGTTCTAGAAAGCTACACGCGGCTCCGCACTCCGGCTATCACATCACAGCCGCCAAGCGCTTCCTTCTCCGGAGCCGGAGCCTTTCGGTAATTTCCGTCAGCTGTCGGGCGCAGTCGGGCTCGTTCGTGCCCTCAACCATCCCGTCGCTGGAATGAATTGCTGCTGTTTGGGATGCCTGCACATACAGGCACAGTGTGCATTAATCACGATAATACATTTTACCGATAGAGCCAGTGTAACTATATTCACCTCGCAACAACATGGTAAATATATATGCTAATTAAGGTAAATAGAAATAAATAATATTATATATAATAATATATAAGTATTACTTTAATCTCTTTCCTCGTGTGATTTTACGTTATTTTTTTATTTATTTATTTTTTTATTAAACGATGATGTCTGCTGCCGGGACCACAGCGCCAGTCTCGTTTGCGCATTCAGGGTTATGGTGGCTCGGGAGCGCGCTCCGGGCGCCGTGCACGCCACCGAGATTACTGAACTGAGGGCAGCAGCGTAGTCAGTGTGAACGTACCGGGACCGTGAGGATGGTGTAGTTTGGCACAGCGGTTTATGTTTTTTAGGTTTACGGGAAGGACTGTGGTTTTTCTCTCACACACTTAGAGGTAAGACATCTCTCTCTCTCTCTTCATCCTTCAGTGTTCCAGTTATCAGCGAGCGAGGTCGCAAGTTTAATAGCACATTGTTTGATTCAGAGCTCTTGTGCTACAGAGGTGAAAGTTTCTAGTGAGCAGTGGCTCCAATGCCAGCAGGTGAAAGCTGACCGCTGCTCATTTTCATCTTTTTCATCAAGTGCACGATTCATTATGCCCAGCTGATATATTTAAAGGAGAACTCAACCGAATTTTCAAAATTTTCTGCATAACTACATAGTTGACATGTCAGCAAAGTCATTCAGAGTGGCTTGGTGTGAAATGCTCCGTTGTAGAGAAACTTACAGAGCTAGAATTGTTCACAGTGGTGGTGATAGGAACCAGACGTCCACCTCTAAAAGCTCCCTCACAGAAAGTTATTTCATTAAATGGTTATAATGGTTATGATTACCCAGTCTGATGTCTGAGACGTTGTTTCACTGTAGTTTTGTGATAAAATGTATTTCTATCCATTTATAGTGGAGGGAGACACATGAAGGGTATTCCAGGGCAAAATATTCCCCAAAGAAAGCTTATTTTTCCAGACTGACCACTAGTTTACCATCATCAGCTTTACATAAAAAAAACTCAGAAGACGTTATGTTCACTGGTGTTTTTGGATAATAAATAAAATGGCTATATTTGTGTTGGGACCTCTGGTTCCTGTCACCACCACTGCAAAGGAAACCTGAGTCGCTAAGCTTCTCTGCAAAGAAACCATTTCACATCAAACCGATCTGAATGACTTTGTTTATATCTCAATCACTGAATTATACAGAAATTTAGAAAAAACGGTGGACTTCTCCTTTAACCATTTAACTTTAACATTTCTTTACTCGCAGCATCACATACGCATCCAGTAGCTTGTGGAATATCGATACAATAATAAAAGACCAATTCTTCTATTGCGCAACCAACTTACATTCAATTATTATTCTTTCTTTCAGTTGTTGACATTTAATCCATTGGTCGTTTTATGCTCTGAATGTCTTTCTGCTGTGAGACTACTTTCATTAGTTACATTGCAAATTCAGTCCATGTTTCAGTGCTGAACACCTTGCCTTTATGATCAGTTATTATTTTTATTTATTTTTATTTTTTGACAGTTTACTCGTGGTAGGACTTCTAAATTGTAGCCGCCAAGTTCATTTTAAAGGGAAATTCCATTGATTTACTGTAATGATTTCTGTATCTTTCAATCTTTGAGATGTAAACAAAGTCATTCAGAGTGTTATGATGTAAAGTGGTGCATTAGAGAGGAATTTTCTGGCTCAGATTTATTTACAGTGGTGATGGGAACCAGGGGTCATGAGGTCTACAACTAAAATATAGTCATTTATTTGACCAGTGAACCTACAGGAGTCTTCAGAATTATGTCATGTAGATGGATTTGAAAAAGATACATTTAGGCCAAAACATATAGCAAATCTATTGTAAAACAGTGTCTGGGGCACCAGGCTGCGTATTTGTAACCACTTCATGTAGTAACTGTCTGTGAGGTAGCTTTAGGCATTAAACGCTTCAGACGTCTGGTTCCTATCACCACCACTGTGAACAGCTCTGAGTCTGAGTTTCTCTAGAACAGAGCATGTCACATCAAACCACCCTGAATGACTTTGTTTACATCTTAATCATTTAATCGTGCAGAATCTTTATATGTTCATTGAAAGGAACATGTGTGTTTAAATTGGCATTGTGAAGTGACCACACTGTATTTCCATATTTGATAACATGTGCTCTCCTATTGACAGGGCTCCTGGACGATGGCATGGCTTTGAATAGGTTTCCTGGGGGCAGTATGAGGACCTGTCCCATCTTCACCCTCGTCCTCTTTCACCTGCTTTCCTGCTGGGGACAGCTTCAGGAGCCTGAACCCTCACTCTTTCAGTTCACACGCTCTGTCTACAATGCCAGCATTTATGAGAACTCTGCAGCTCGGTCCTACGTTAGAAGCGAGGTCAAAATGGGCATCGTTCTGCCACAGTCCAGCTCATGGGACATTAAATACTTCATCGAATCGGGGGATGATGAGGGCTTGTTCCAGGCAGAGGAGTATGTTCTGGGAGACTTCTGTTTTCTGCGCATACGGACTAACGGTGGAAGCTCTGCTATTCTGAACCGCGAAGTACAGGACAATTATACGTTAAGTGTAAGAGCTTTGGATAGAGATGGTCAGGAGGCTTCTAGTAGAGTCAGTGTGCAGATTATGGACATGAATGACCTTCGTCCTTTATTCTCCCCCACCACCTATACCATTACTGTACCTGAAAGCACCCCACTGGGAGCCAGTGTGGCCCAGGTCACTGCCACAGATGCCGACATAGGCTCCAATGGTGAATTTTATTATTTTTTCAGGAAAGTCGTGGAGCACTTTGCCGTCCATCCCACCAGCGGGGTTATATCTCTCACAGCCAAACCAAACGCAGATGAGATTAAAAGGTTTGACCTTGAGGTGTTAGCGGTTGATCGTGGAACAAAGGTTTACGGAAACAATGGTGTGATCAGCACAGCCAAACTAATGATCAGCATCATACGTGTTAATGAATATTCACCCACACTGAACGCAATCGCACTTGTCCCCTCGTTATCGGACAAAGAGCCGGTCTTTGCCGTGGTGACGGTGGAGGATCTGGACGAAGGGCCGAACGGGGAAATCGAATGGGTTGCAATCATTGCCGGTGACCCACTGGAACAGTTTGTTCTTGACAGAGCAGCACTTGGCAATGAGTATAGATTAAAAACGTCCGAGCCCGTCGACTGGAATACGTTTCCGTACGGCTGCAATCTCACCTTCCAAGCTAAAGATAGAGGCAAACCTCCCAAATTCTCCAATACTCAGGTTCTCCAGCTCTTGGTTAAAAAGCCACCGTCTGTGCTGGCAAAATTTGAGAAAGACATTTACAGGGCTACAATTAGTGAGATTGCTCCTCCTGGGACCATCATACAGACTGTTGGAATCTCTCCCAAGCCACGATCTGTCAGCTATGGCCTAAGTCTCACCTCAGACTCCTTTTATTTCAGTATTAACACTTTTACTGGTGCAATCTCGACTGCAAGGCAGCTTACCATGCTGGGTCAGCAGCTTTTTGAGCTTGAGGTGACAGAAGCTATGAGTGGCCTGAGAGCCAAGGTGCTGATCAGCGTGGAGGATGCTAACGATAATATCCCCACTTTTACTCAAGCCTCCTATGAAGTGTTTGTCAATGAGAGCGCGCCGGTTGGTACTGTGATCCTCATCGTTTCAGCCGTGGATGATGACAGAGGGGAGAATGGATGCATAACGTATAGTATAGCAAGCCTCCAGGCTCTGCCTTTCACAATCGACCAAAATACAGGCGAACTGAAGACAACTAAAGAGCTGGATTTCGAGTCTTTTTTAGAGACGTATGTTTTTCCTGTCCGGGCCTCTGACTGGGGCTTACCTTACAGGCGAGAAAACGAAGTAAACGTCACAGTGCGGATTCTGAACGTTAATGACAACCCGCCCCTTTTCGAACGCGTGTCCTGTAAAGGTATGATCGCTCGAGATTTCTCTGTAGGGCAGACAATCATTACAATGTCTGCCATTGACATAGATGAGCTTGGCTTGGTGAAATACCAGATATTGTCTGGAAACGAACAAGACCTCTTCAGCCTTAACCCCGATTCTGGGATGCTCTCACTGAGGAGGTCTCTTGTTGGAGCTAATGTGAAAAATGGAGTGTTCAGCTTGAAGATAGCAGCAACAGATGGAGAGATTCTCTCAGAGCCCACCTTTGTCAACGTATCAGTTGTGAGAGGGAGAATGCCGTCAAAGAGTTTCAACTGTAAAGACACGAAAGTGGCGCAAAAGCTAGCTGAAAAACTTCTCAAAAAAGCCAACGCTATGGGAAAATCAAAAGTTGAAGAAATCTACACGGATCTGTATTCCGTCAACCGGCAGACTCCTCAGTTTGAAGCATTTCCCTCTGATATAGTAGTACGTGAGGATTTGCCTGTCGGGTCAACTGTCATTAAAGTGAACACCAATGATGGGGACACGGGCTTCAATGGTCGCATTCTTCATGTTATATCGGATGGAAATACTGACAGCTGCTTCAACATTGATATGGAAAGTGGGGTTATATATATCTATCGACCTCTGGATCGTGAAAGATCAGACCGATACCTTCTTAATGTAACCATATATGATATGGGTCTATCACAGAGGTCCAACTGGAGGCTATTAACTGTAAACGTTGATGATGTGAATGATAATAGTCCTCAGTTCTCCCTGGAGAGCTACACCGTGGTGGTGCCAGAGAACACAGCCATCGGCACCGAGGTGATCGAGATCACGGCCTCAGATCTTGACCTGGGTCAGAATGGTGAAATCTCCTATTCTTTAATTACAAGCACCCCTTTTTTTGGCATTAACAGCGCCACCGGATGGGTCTATGTCTCTGGCCAGCTGGACAGAGAATCGATGCCAGATATTACTCTGAAAATCGAAGCCAGAGACAAAGCAGAGAGAGGGAATCAAAAGTTCTCAGTGACAACTCTAAAGATCTACCTGGGGGACGTGAATGACTGTCCTCCAATGTTTATTCCCAAGAGTTACAGCTGCCGTGTTCTGGAGGACCTTCCTGCAGGAACTGTGATCACCTGGCTGCAAACCCAGGACCCTGACTTTGGCTCTGGGGGGAGAGTGAAGTATTATCTGGCTGAAGACTTCAATGGGACGTTTGTGGTTAATGTGGAGAGTGGAGCTGTCAAGGTGGCCAAGGAACTGGACTTTGAGAAGCAACAGTTCTACAATCTGTCTGTAGTTGCGGAGGATTGTGGTCTACCCGTTCAGCTCCGCTCCTCCTCTTACGTGGAGGTGGAGGTGGTTGACGTGAACGAGAACCTAAACGAGCCCTACTTCTCCGAATTTGCGGTGAAAGCCACCATTAAGGAGAACTCCCGCCTTGGAACAAGTGTGGTTCAAGTCACTGCTAAGGATGACGACAAGGGCAGGGATGATGTAATAAGATACTCTATCAAGGCGGGAAGTGGTCTTGGCAGGTTCTCCATTGACGAGGAGACTGGTACGTGTTTAATCATTCCGATATCTGTGTAGCACCTCTTCGCTTCTGGTGAAGGTGAAGATGTTTAAACCCCTTTTACCTGCAGATCGTACATCATTCACACAATGCGGGACATTAGTAATTAATATGATAGATTAGCGCTAATACTTTTATTATATGGTGGTGTAGCATTTATAATGTATTTCCCTCATATCAGGTCCTTGAATGGAAAGTAAAAGCCCAAACTAGTACATATATCAATGTGTATTAAAAGTCAATTCCACTGCTCTTTCAAAATTTCCACGTAGTTCAGTTGTCGAGATGTAAACAGAGTCGTTTAGAGAGGTTTGATGTGAAGTGGTTCATTGTAGAGAAACTGATTGGCTTAGATTGCTTCACAGTAGTGGTGAGCGTGATGAGGGGTCGCTTTGAGGGGTCATTTTATATTTTATTTGCTATGCAAAATTACGATTGAACCTACTTGTGCCTCCTGAGTTTTATATGTAAAGCTGATAATGATAAAATAGTGGTAAATCTGAAAAAAAGTTTGCTTTGGGGGCTATTTTGCCTTACAATGCCCTGCATGCACCTCCCACCATTAATAGCTTTAAAAAATATGTTTTAGCTCATCTCAAAACGATCGTAAAACAATGTAGGCATCGTATTCGTAAGCATATCAAGTAACAGCTTCCTGTAAGGGACCTTTTAGAGGAATTTCAAGCACGTCTGGTTCCATCCACCACCATTGTGAATAAGTAAGAGTAAGGTTGGATTCTCTTTAATCGAGCATTTCATATGAAACTACTCTGAATGCCTTTACATCTCAGTGACTCAATTATGCTGGACATTTGAAAAATGGGTGGAATTCCCCTTTAATTAGATGTCAGATGTCCTATATGAGGTGTCTGGAGCCTCATATGGCTTCACTGACAATCGAACTAAAACAGCATGATAAAGCATTAGTCATCTTGTTCTAATAAAACAATCTGTCTGTTAGCAGGTGAGTAATTTCACAAGGTTGTTCCTGTATAATTTGTCTTGGCAGTGAATTTGAGCTCTATAGGATGAAATTACATTCGTGGGCCATCAGAATGGACTACTGACCTAGAAAGCAGGACCTCTGTGGTGTTTAAAGCAATGCTCTTAAAAGCCACTTTGTGGTTTTCTGTGTTGATTGTGCTCGTGAGTGTTGCATGTGGGGTCTATTCTTCATGTAGAATGCAGGTTCAGCACAATACAACGTGAGGTGGGAAAAGAATAGCTAAAAAAAAAAAGGATCCCCAATTACTGACATGACATGTTGTCGAGCAGCAGCCTGACCATTAATTACAGCTAATTACTATTGATCAGATGACTGTGGCGCTGCGGTGGGACACGACTGGGGCCCCCGCATTCACATGTCAACTAATTAGGTTGAGTGTGTTAATCATGCAGTGGTTTAAGCGGTAATGAGCGCGGCTGGTCATGTCAGAGCTGCAGATGAGGATGGATTTTCCAGGGAGAATCAAAATGCCCTATCGGCAGCCACGGGCCAGCTCGCAAGGGTTGAGCGAGGCTCCGGAGCCGGAATTTTTTTTTTTCTTACATTTTTTTTTTTCTTCTTTAATCTTCAAAGTCAGCGCATCCCGTCAGCCGAGGACAGTGGCTTTGGCTTTGGTCGCCCACCACCGATCTGCCCACCAGCATCCATTTAGCTGCCGCATTGAGTGGCATGTTGTGACTTCCCGTCACTCCGGCTGCGTTTGGGAGCCTTTTGATAGAGTGAAATCTGCACTTTGTTCGCGCAATAGATGTGGAATCAAAGGCACTCGGCTTCCCCCTGGCCCCCTGTTTCCAACTCCCGCCTGAGACGTGTTTGATAGTAGCGCTGTACATGTTAAAGCGATTTAGTAATAGGAACTCCCTCTCCGTTCAAGTGCCACAATGAACTAAAAAGATGGATGGGATTTATAAAGGGCTTATCTGCGCTCTGCTTCTCCGCTTTGAGCGGCCATTGGTATTCTCGCCAGGACTTTGAGAAATAAATCAAAGCGCATTCTCGCTCAGATTGCTGTCAAGAAACAGGTTCAGCTCTAATTCGCCTCTGAGTTCTGGACCTATTTACTCCTGAGACGGGTTAAGTCCTCTATATCAAAATCTTTTATATGAAAAGCCCATAAGCACAGCACGTCCTCACGGATGGAATAATCTCATCTCTTTTGCCCTTTCCTTTTTCTTTTTCTTTTCCGGAGAGGTGTTTGTGTGAAGCGATTGGGCGAAGAGAATCGTTACCACCAGCTCCAATCTCCTTCCGGACGATTGAACTTTAATTATAATTCTGGGTAGATAGCTGGCGGTTACGCGCCGGTGTGCGAATGTGGAAAGGGAGGAAACCGGCATCCCAACAAAAAGGTGCAGATCTACCTTAGAACCGAAAGGCCAATGAAGGGATTTGTGTTTAAACTAAAGCATTCTTTAACATTCACAGGGCATGGTGTGCTGTGAGGAGCTTGCAAGTGGGGAAGCCAATTGGGACAAGTGATTGAAGTGCCCTTGATGGTGCATGTTGAAATGAAGGATGAGCAAGATGATTTCAGTCTGACTTTCAAAATTGGGGAAAAAGCATGAATTCTTGATGATGTGTCTCTCCGGATGTAAATTAAACATGATTTTATGAAATGTGCAAATTAAACGCTGAAAACACACCACAAAGATTGAAGTGACAAAATAAGGAAATTGCTTTGTGTTTCCCAGACTGGTGACAGTTTTCCAAAACCTGAGGCATGATAATGAATACTGAAATATGCAATATGCATGTTCAACATGTTTCTATTTGAAAAGAGATGTACTTTCATCGATTTTAACTTAAAGGCAACAAGCAAAATTGAGAATTTACTGCAGAATGTGTCTGGCTTAGAGAAATTTCGAGCATCCATTTACCTGCCAGTGGTAAGAAGTGGTCAGTTATATAGTGAATACAACTACAGTGCTGTGCTGGTGCCAGCATTTAAGTCAAAAGCCTGTTTTCAGGGTGTTTCAATAGTTGTTTAGGTGAAGATTTTCTTTTTGTTTGGAATAAAGAAAGTTGGTAAGCTAATTTGAGTCAGTGAGCAGAGTAAACAAGTTCACCACACTGCAGTGTTTTCCGTGTAGTTTTCGATTTCCTCTTGAGCTGTTACAGCTGCTCTAATTATCCATTACTGATTGAGGATCAGGAGGTCAGTGAGCATTTTTGTGGTCTGCAGTATGTAATCTATATATTAAGATGTATGGTACACCTAATTTTTCAGTGTTGTTAAACAAGCAGTAAATATATATATATAACAAAATGACACTAAAGCCTTAACAACTTAATACAATATAAACATTTTCAGTGTTTTATTTATGTAGTGTGTCCACGCTTTGCCTATTACAGCTTCCATTCTTGTCAGGAGACTTTCTTCCAGTTTTTCAAAGGAATTTGCAGGGATATTTTTCCCTCCTCCAAAGTTCAGTCTTAGAAGTTGGTTACATTTTCTGCTCCTCACGATCCAAGTAATCCTAAACAAATTCAGTGATGTTGAGGCCTGGACTCTGGAGTGGTCAGTCCATTCATCTGGGAATACCAGCAGCTTCTTTGATTGATTTGCAAATTTTCTTTTCTCAGAAACGACTTCTTGACAGCTACACATCCTTTCAGACTCATAGCAGTTCAATTCAGATCTGAAGCAGCTTGATTTTCTCCTCTCACTCAAAGATGAAAGCTTTAAGTTCTGTTTATCTGATGTTGTCGGTTTTGGTGTCTACCAGGTCTCACACAGTTGTTAGGAGTTTTAGAATCAATATTTGAAGTCAAGTTTTGGAAACTCCTGTTTTCTTCACTCATTTTCCTTTGACTTTCTCCTTTTATATGCAGGTGGGTTATCTTATATCTAATCCCCTTAGAAATATCTCCTGAAAAATAACGTTGCCGTTTTGAATGGAAATTGAATAAATGAAGTGTAAATAGTGTATTTTCCATTCCATATTACTGCAGTGTAAAAATCAAACAACAACAATTTTGAAATCGGTTATATTCTTGCAGCTCATCTGCTGCCACAATTTATCTGTTTTCTCTGGTAAATAAAAATGTCCTGTGTACATTTTCATCCGTATATCACTGGATCCTTTGAACTACAAGGTTGCTAAAGAGCCGTAACACTAATATTGCTGCATGCAGGCTAATGCTGCTGTTCATCAATTTGACGTAACTAAGCTATATGAAAGTAACACAGATGTTCTGACGAATTGTGCTAATATTACCTTGTTGAAATGTCCTACAGTAGCACATATTTATAGGTAGCTTTGTACATTAAACCTGTAGGTAGGATATTTTGAAAGCTTAAATCACCTCATCAAAAAATACTACTAGCATCAAAACTACAAAGCTGATGTCAGCTTCTTGTTCAAAGCTGATGTCAGCTTCTTGTCCCACTCCACCTTAAATGGTGCAACAGTTATTATTATAACGCCTCAGGCACCTGTAACTGCTGTATCATTTAAGGTAGAATGGGAAATTCAAACAAGAAGCTGGCAAATGTCCATATCAGAAAACGTTATTAGCATTAAAAGAATAATTAGAATATTTCTGCAGCCTGAATCAACGTATCAAGGGGTAAGTAGTAATATTAAGCCTGCAGTGAATTAACATTAAAAGCATAATAAAACATTTAAAACCCATTTAACTATGCTGTACTAATGATATGTTCATACTCGGTAGGACCACTTAGTGGTTGTTGTATCACTCTGTGGTTTGTCATCCTTTATCAAGGAAGACCAAAAGCTTATTAAAATAAGTGAAAACCACTTTCTGTCTGGTCATGTTGAGCAGTGTAGGTCAGCTTGTAGGGCTACCACAGTGGCACTGTTCAAAGGACAAAACGTACCAGCTTTAAAACATTTTTGATGACCACAGAGTGCGACAGAGGCAGTTTTCGAAAACTCCATTCATTTTTAGACCCAGATTTCCTTATATGGGCACAAGAGCATGGCGCCGACCACAGAATGACGACATGACTTTAGCG